TGCCCCAAACCACAGCCACCCCGGCCCACTGGCAGTTCGGCCCCTTGGAACTTCCAGACACTTAGGGAGTTTGGAGGATAACAACAACACAGTACCTTTCCCAGGGCACGTCAGACACTGTGCCAAGAACTCTCTGTGCATATGTCATTTCATTCTCACAAGCACCCTGCAAAGTGGCCACGGGGAAACTGAACCTGAGAGGTCAGTTTCCTGAACGTCACACATCTAACAGGGGGTGGCACTAGAATGTAGACCAGCGGCCCCAGCTCTCACCCCCCGTGCTACCTGACCTGGCTGCGTTCTGCCCACAGGAGCTGTCCCTGCTGTGCCCGGCCCCGATGCCAGGGTGCAGGGGGGCTGAGAAAGCCATTAACCCAGTGGGCACTGGCCGAGCCCACCATGTAGCAGGCTGGTGCGGTCCAAGGGACACAGCCAGGGCCATGGCAAGGGATACGGCTTACAGTCGAGACAGAAATAGGGCCCTCGTGAGAGCAGCACGTGCTGGGATGGCGGGGGCCCTGCCCGCCCCCCCCCCCCAGTGAGGAGATCACAGCAGAGCTGAGACAGCCTGCAGAGATGCATAAGCCCACCCATTCCACAGATGGGGCAACTGAGGCCTGGAGAGGGGCACTGGCCCAAGGGTCAGAAAGGCAGGCTGATTTCCCTTTGACTCCACTCAAGTCTGAAGTGTGTCGGGACAGCTCTGTGGTGCCCCAGGCCAAGCCGGCCTCAAGATGGGGCAGGGAGGAGGGAAGGCACCGGCCAGCCCCGAGCTTCACGGGGAAGGCAGGGGCTGTGCCACAACGCACAGGGGGCAGTGGGGGAGGGCGGTGATGGTGACGATGAACACAGGTTATTTCTATGGCTCAAGGGCTCACTGCTGAGTGCTCACCACGCTCCATCGCCCCCCTTTACTGTCACTACCTCTCCTATTTCCCCGTTTTGCAGACAGGGAGACAGATTCAGAGAGAGACAGTAACTTGTTCGAAGCCACACAGCAGGTATGTGGACAGAAGGAACCCAAGGCTCAGATGGGGGCAGATGTAGGGTGGGGGGGCGGGAAGCAAGGGGCTCCGATGAGGAAGGAATGACAGGGCCCGTGGCAAGGAGAGCTGCTCAGTGTACGCGGGCTGTCGGCACGGACGGGCATCTCCCTGAGGACCGAACTCCGAAGGAGCACTGGACAGGGCATCAGAAGTCTCTGCTCTGGCCCAGCTCTGCCCCGTCCTGCGGGCTGCCCTTGGGCAGGTGGCTTCCACTCTCTGGACCTCAGTTTCCCCACCTGTAAAAGGCACTCAAGTAGGGGCCAGGGTCCTTTCAAGATTCCGATGAGGCCCCGGACACTCATGTGACTGACACTCGGCAAGCACAGCTGAGCATGAATCCAGATGCCACCAGGCCTGGTCCACGAGGCTCATCCGCAGACCCTGCGTCGAGACGCCCCGGCCTGGGTGATCAGCACGCTCCCCTCTGCCCTGATCTCATCTAGGAAAGACGACTGGGTGTGGCTGAGTCCCTGACCGCTCCGAGGACAGATGCCCAGGGACACTGTGTCACCCTGATTCTCCGAGGGGGCTGCACACACAGCTGGTGCCCTGGGTGGCCCGGGCTGGACACAACTGTCAGCCTCCTGGCCCAGTCCAGGGCCCGAGGTCCCCATGCTCACACCTGTGTGGCCACTGGTTGCCAAGGCGACAGAGAGCCATGACAGGCTTATGTAAAGTACACGGGGTGGGGGCAGCGTGGAAACGGGGGGCCCCGGAGAAGCTGTCCATTTGCCTGGCATCTGCTCCCCCAGGTGCTCACGGGAAGGAACTGGCTGGAGGGGGCTGCCCTGACCTGCCTTCCTCCCCCTCCCATGGCACACAGGGGAGCCCCCAAGAAAGGCCTGACCCCAGGGGCTGGAGGCTGCATCCGCTCCTCTTTCCCACCCCACCCCACCCCACCCACCCCATCCCACTCCGCCTGTTTCTCCCTGTCACATTCCCTCCTCCAGGACAAACCGGGCCAGCTGGAAACCTAGCTGCAGCCTGGCCTGGGGCGGGCAGGCAGGGCCTCCCCAGAGAAGGTCTGGGCAGTGGGCCCCCTGAGCCGGCCGACTTGGTTCAGAGAAGCGTTGGAGGAGGGTCACCGGGGAGGCCTCCGAGCCCCTCCTCGGGGGGCCCAGTCTCATCGGGCAACCCTGGGAGAGGTTAGACCTCAAAAGGGAAGTGGCCCCTGGAGGCTGGGGACCTACGGGTCAGCTGAGGCCTGAGGGAGAAACTCTGCTGTGGCCGAGACACCCACTTGAACCCACGGAGCCGCTCAAGCCTCCTCGCCAAACGTGGCCAGGTGACACCAAGCAGGCTGCGTCTCAGCCAGAAAAGGATCTGGGGGTTCCACGGGACCACAAGCTCAGCGAGAGCCAGAGGGAAGGAGGCAGCCTTTATGGAGCCGCTGCAATGCCCTCGAACATCACCGCCTCTGCTCAGCACGGTCCCAGGAAGGGTTTTTGTCCCCACTGTACAGATGAGGAAACCGAGGCTCAGAAGCCTGAGTGCCTTCTGTGGAAGGACTAATAAGGCCACAGGTGGAATGACTAGCCCAAGGCCATTCGGCTGGTTAGTAGGAGGGCCGGGGTGGGACCCAGGTCTATGGACTTCACAGCTCACACTCCTCCCACCTGCTCCACCAGGTCCTGACTGCCAGCTGCCCCACCACCACTGACATTTCACCTCCCCCAACCGGGCCCTTTCGCCTCCATTTAACCAGGGCGGGTGGCAGGGCAAAGCCACTGCTATTTCCTCTGCCTTCCCTTGTCCCCCAGACTTGGGGCTGGTGGTCCCGAAAGCCCAACACCCGCCCAGGTGCCCAAGGCCTCTCTGCATGGTCACCACAGGAAGTCCCCGTGTCCGTGGTGGCCCAGGAGCCTCATTTCCCTGCTGTGGCCGGGGGCCCAGCTGCAGGTCTGGGCTCAGAGCATGAACCATTTGCCTGAGGCCGGACGTCCCTGCTGCCGCCATCCCCAGGGCTGCCAGTCAGGCGTGCACTCTAAGGAAATGAGGGCCACCTGTGCCGGCTCCCAGCCGACAGGCTGACTCAGAGCTCCTGGGGGTCCAGAGGAGACGTCGGGGCGCAGACCCACCCTCTTCACGAAGTCACGTCACTTTCACGCATTCACCCACCACAGGTGCATCCTCGGTTCCTGCACGGTCCGTCTGGAGCCAGGGTCATGAACATGCCACCAGGACTTGAACGCAGGCCGTGCCAGGCGCTGTGCCCATACGCTGGACCTCGCACCCTCGGACACTCACGGCAGCCCCACAGGTGCATTCCGTCATGCCCATTTTACAGAGGAGGAGACTGAGGCACAGGTGGCTGAAGTAGCTAGTATACCTAGGTGTGCCTTACACGGTAAGGTCAATGTCAAGGCTCTATGAGACTAGACAGCCAAAGCACTTAGCCAGTGACCAGCCAGACGACTCTGTTACTGCCTCAGTGTGACCTCGAGCAAGCCACTCCACCATGCAAAAACATTAATAGCTATTAAAACATTAAAAACTGTAAAATGCAGTCACCATCCTTCCCAACCAGAAGCTCCGGCCTGGGCACTGGGGGCCACCCTTCGGTGCTCGGGCAAGCCCCCTCTTGCCCAAATCAGTGGCAGCCTGGGGTGAGCAGGGTGGGGGCTCTGCCAAGGGTAGTCTCCACCCCCGCCCACAGCTCTGAGATGCCCCATGCCAATAGCGCAGATGGGTGGACGCTGGGATGGGGGTGTTGATGTGGTTCAGGGGCAGCTCCTTCACATTGTCTGTGGGTGGGGGCAGGCCAGGACGCACATGCCCCGCCGCAAGCCAGCTGGCCCAGCCAACTGGCCACCGTGGTTCCCCTCACGTGGCCTGGGCGCTGAGTGGGGCTCTGCGAGGCAGTCGGCGCCATGCGCACAGCCGGGTGGAGCGAAGGGAAAGGCTTTCGGCATCAGGCAGACCCGGGTTTCCATCCCAGTGATAACCACGCTCTCGGCAGGTCCCTTCACCTTTCTGCACTGCCCTCATCTGCAAAACGGGGGTGCGGCAGCCCTTAGGTAAGGCGGCCGTGAGAGAGGGGACACGCAGAGGCCTTGGCACATGTGTTCTCGGGGCTCTCCAGACAAACAGAACAGCAGGCACACGGGGAGGAGAGATTAGATTTATTGCACGGAACTGGCTCACAAGATGGTGAGCACTGGTAAATCACATTCTGCCGGTAGGCTGGCAGCCCGGAGACCCGCGAAGAGCTGGGGGGTGGGTGGGAGTCCTCCTTGCTCAGGGCAGCGTGGGCGGGGGGGAGGAGTCAGTCTTCGTTCCGTCAAGGCCTTCGACTGATGGGATGAGGCCCACCCACAGTATGGAGGGCAGTCTGCCTTCCTCCAAGTCCACTGACTGAAATGCCAATCTCTTCCCCAAACACCTTCACGAAAACACCCAGAATCATGTTGAAGTGAAATATCCAGGCACGGAGACTTACCCATCACAGCAGGCAACGGTGGTTGTTTCAACAGTGGGCAAATGGGCACCACTGTCGAATCACTGATTCTGTGTCTGGCACTGTTCTCAACACCTACGTAGTCGACTCAGTTAATTCTCGTGACAACCTGTGTGTGTGTGTGTGTGTGTGTGTGTGTGTGTGAATCCCAACTCACAGAGAGATGAAGAGACAGAAGGTCAGAGGCCGCACAACTTTGAGGAGCTGGGGTTTGAGCCCCGCCCACCTGGCCCCAGAGTCCCCACCACCTGCAGCAGCGATTCCCACTCATCAGTGCCTGCCCTCCCTCCCGTCACACTGAGGGCACCGTGCTGCTGGCACCTAATGACACAACTGCGACGCCATCAGACTTGGAAGCCCACCAGCCCCCGTAAGCCCCACCAGAAAGACCACCGATCTGATGAAGTAATAGGTATTTTATTGGGTGACATGAGGGCGAACCCCACTGCCACTTCACAGTGCAGAGCCAGGGGAACCACGGACACCTGCAGCCCGCCCACCCGCCCCAGGCACCGGAGCCGGCCCCTTGCGGGAAACAACGCAGACCCTGGAAGGGAGCAGAACCCACGCCCTGTCCGGGTGATATCGGCACTTGCCCTGACCGATGGCCAGGGTGTGGGATCATGGCACTCGGGGAGTGGCCACACCGACCCTGTGGGGACCCCCTGCCAGCTGTCCTTGAGGAGGGCCCTGTATTTTTAGGGCTCCCTAAAAACTGTGCTCCAAAGTCACTCCTTATAGATCCCTGGCCACCCAGAATCCAGCCTACTCGTGCGAGTCCACTGATTGGCCACTTCAAACAAAAAGCAGGCCACCAAGGGCCAGTCCACACAGAGTCACTAGCATGTAAAGGAAGGAAGATTTTATGGACAATCCTCGGCCCTGGCAGGACGGGGACCCACGGTGGGTCTCAGGGGCCTGGGAGATGGTGGGAGCAGCACCTGCTGGAGCCTGTCCCACCGCAGCCGGTGGGAACGGCGCTCCTGCGGGAAGACCCCAGGGCTCAGAGAGTGGCCGCCCTGGGGGCAGGGCAGGGGCGCCAAGGGAAAGTTGACACAGCACGGCCCACCCAATTTCCAAATGGCAGCCCAACAGGAAGGACCGGTGTCCCCCACACCTTGGCAGGTGGCTTCCAGCGGCCCCCAGGCCTACCCCATGGACATAGCCAGGAACCAGGTGGGCATACAGGCTCCCAGGAGAAAGGCACGTGGGCATCTAAGGTTGAAGGTCAGGCACAGGTTACCCAGTGGCTCGTGTGGGTTTGGGCAGTGAGCTGGCGTGAAAGGTGTGTGGCCCAGACAAAGAGAGCAAGGTCAGCTGGAGCCCCGTGCCCTGTAGACCACCCTGGTCACTCCTAAGGACCTGGTCACACTCCCCAGACCTGGGGAGCTGGGGCCCAGGCTGGGAGCCTCTGTGGGTAAGGAGGTCGCCAAAGGCTGCGGAGTCACCTCCTTTTCCCCAGGGGGCGGGAGCTGCCCCACTATCACTCCCCGAGACCCTAACCCACTGGGCCACCATGCTGAAGAAAGAGCAGGGAAGGACGGATGGAGAACCAGCCGCACCTGCGAGATGTAGTTTCTAGGACGCCCGATGGGATGAGGGGCCTGAGGCCCGTTTCCCCCCAGCAGGATCTCAAACCAGAGCCGAGGACAGGCCAGGATGCGGGGCCGTGGGGGGCAAGGGGCCGCCCTTGGCTCTAGAGAGGGGGCCACCCCACAGGGAGCAGGGTGGAGGGGCTGGGGTGGGACCAGTGCACGAGGTCCGTCGCCCGGACAGACGGACGGGTGGACAGCGAAGCGAAGGCGCCGAGCCAGTTCACTGCATGTAGGAGTAGCGCCAATCCCCCAGAGGCGTGTGTGTCTCCTTGATAACCTGGGGCGACGTCCAGCGCAGGACGTAGTGGGGCCCCCCCGGCTTGTCATTGGTGCCTGTGAAAAAAAGACAGCTCGGTTTCCCCCGGAAAGACACAACGGCTTGGGGCAGAAGGGGAAAGGGGCGGGGAGGAGTGGACGGAATAAATGGGGCACCGGCGTGGGCTGCAAACCACTAAATCAAACGAAACATGTTCACAGGGCCCACAGGTTCCCAAGTGCATCTGTGGGGAGCGCCCTGAGCCGCAGGGCGGGTGAGGCAGGGCTGTGAGCAGACAGGACGTGGGCACTCCCGGGTCCGTGCTCCCTGCCTGCCACGGGGGCCTCGGAGGCGGGGAGCACCGCGGAGAGAGCACCGGCTCTGCCGCTGGGCGCGGGGACCTTGGAAAGCCACCACCCCAATCCCAGCCTGTTTCCCCGTCTGCAAACAGGAGGGAGCCGGGTTGAGGGGGCCTGGCGCATGTGTGGTGGTCTGAGTGGGGCATGCTGGATTCAAAAGCCAGCTCCGCCCCTTCCTAGCCACGCCCCCTTGAGCGAGCCACTTCGCCACCCGTGCCTCAGTGTCCTCCTCAGTGAAGTGGGGAGGAGAACTTAGCACCGCGGCCCCCGAGGTTGTTGAAAGGACTCGGGGTGCTCACGGCGCCTGTCCCGGACTGCTCGGGGAATGGCGCTGTTCCCGTTACTCTCGACACCCTGGAAACAAGGAATCCCCAGTCTCCCGCCAGGCACATGGCTCCCCTCTGGAAACGAAGGCCCACTCACCAGAGGCTCGAGCCCCCCCGAAGGGCTGCTGGCCCACCACCGAGCCGGTGGACTTGTCGTTGATGTAGAAGTTGCCGGCAGAGTACCTCAGCATCTCTGTAGCCTCCCGGACAACGTCCCTACAAGGCAGGGCGGCGAGCTCACCCACCAGTGTGGCCCCAGGCCCAACCTCCAGTACCCACTCCGGCCCAGGCTGCCCGGGCAGGTGAGCACCTGGCCCAGCCTGGGACAGCGACATGGGCCAACCACCAGCTGTGGGCCCTTGGGGACCCCATCAGGGTCTCTGAGCCTCAGCTTCCGCCCCTGGGAAGGGGGTCAGCATGCCTCCCCTGCAGGGCTCCTGCAAGGGCTGAGGCTGTGGCTCAGGCAGCATCCGCTCAGGGGAGGGGCCCCTCCCAGTCCCATTTCCCTGCCCCTCAGGAGCTGGGGAACCCCCAAGGCCCACCCTGCCCCGCCGGCTCACTCCCCTCTCCACTCTCGAGAGGCAGACAAGGGGTGGCGCCTGGGCCTCGGAGGAAGGAAAAAGCCAAGCCTCAGGACGAGCACCATGGCACCCAGGTTAGAACCCTACCTCTGCAAGATGGGCAGGGTGCCCCTGGCCCACTCTGCAGCACGAGGCGATGGCCTCTCTCAGAGCGGAGGCCCCATCGGATTGGAGGAGCTGGTCAAAAGCACCCATTCCCGGCCCCTCCCCTAGAGGTCCAGATTTAATAGCGGGGCTGCAGAATCTGCACTTGAACAAACAGCCGGGCTGCCTGGGTGTACCAGTGCGTGGAAGGACTGCCTGCCAGTCAAGGCTGAGGTGAGGGGGGTAGACAGAAAGCAAGGGTGGCTTTGTAGGATCCATGCCGTGGTGTCCTGCCTGCACCCGGGACAGGACACCAGTACTAGAAGGGCGGCAGCCACTCACTTATCCTGGGCGAACACTGCCCCCGTGAGGCCATAGCTGGTAGTGCTGTCAACCAGCCGCAGCGTCTCCTTGTACTTGTCGTCCGGGTAGACGTACACCGTTAGCACAGGCCCGAAGATCTCCTGGGAGAGACGCCCCGCTGTCAGCCCCGGGCAGGACCAGCGCCGAGGCCTCCCAGCCTGCTCTGGCCTCGGCCTCTGCCCTCAGCCCCCGGTCCCCAGCCCACACCGCAGCCCCTGCAAGAAGGGCCAGGTGCAGCCTCCGGCTGGATCCCCCCTGGGGCAGCACTGTGCCCGGCTCCCGCCCTGCCCACCCCACCCCACCCCACCCTGGGGGAAGATCCGAGGAAACTCTGCCCCGCTGCCAGCCAAACCCACGCCCGGAGATGCACAGGAGACTCCCAGCAACAGTCAGTCCAGGAACTGACCGACATAACCACTGTCCCTGCTGCCACAAAGGCACCTCGACCTCTCGGAGCCTCAGCTCCTCATCCGTAAAATAGGACTGGTCATGCCCCCTCAGCGCAACCAAGTGCCAGCTGTAGCCGGCCCACAGCTGGGTCCGCAGATGCCAGCCGTGAGGGTCCCTGTGGCGATCGTGGGCTGTGGAAGTACTATGACTCTGGGGTCAGGAGGCCTGAGCCCGAGGGCTGGCTCTGCTCTCACTGGGCGTGAGACATTCGCTTTCTGGGGCCTCGCTTTCCTCATCTGGGAAATGGGATGACACCTCGAGAAGAAAACCCCGAGCCAGGGCCCTGTGCACGCGCAGTGTGAGTGACAGGCTGTCCTCCCGCGTGTCCCGGCCACCTGCCCAGTCACCTCCTTCATGATGGGGTCCTGAGGGTCCTTGCTCTCGACGATGCAGGGCTCCACGAAGTAGCCCACGGAGTCGTCGCACTTGCCCCCGGCCAGGACGGTGAGGCTGGGCGAGGAGTGCGCATGCTCCAGCCACTTCCTGATGCGGCCAAAGGACTGCGGAGGGCGGGGAGGCGGGTGTCAAGGAGCGGCTAGGGGCCGTTCCCGGAGGCAGCCCCCCCGCCCCACTCACCCCAACACCTGTGCCTGAAGGACCTGACTTCTGAAGTGGGGGCGGGGAGGCCGAGGGTCTGTGTGAGCCCTGGCAGAGACGAGAGTGGACATGTATGCTCGTGTGCCTGTGCTAGAGCTGTGGGCACACGCACAGCAACGTGACAAAATGCACAGATGACGTAAATGTGCACACGGGCACACGTATAGCCATGTCTCTGTTTAGCATGTAGACGCACAGGGCGAGCAAAGTGGGTTTACAGTCATGAGTATGCAAAACAGTGTTTATGCACGCATAGCGATCTGCGCCTCTGCACACATGCAAACACACATGTGGATACTGGTGCGTGCACGCATGTGGGTGGATTTGTTCCTGTGTGTGGCTGTGTGTGCATTTATGTGGAAAGACTGGCATGCATTCCTATATACAAAGGTGTTCATGGGTGTGCAGTGTGTTTGGGTTTACGCCCACAGGTGTGCACACCTGTCTGTGTCTGTGCGTATGAACATAAGCACTTCCAGGGTGCACAGGAGGCGAGTTCTCTGGTTGGACGATTCTGCCCTTTCCAGCTGGAGGAGAGGGTGGCAATCTGGCTACTTCCCAGAAGCGGTGGGGCTGGGCAGCCCCCAGTCAGGGCCCCCCATTATCTCTTCCTCCCTCTCCACCCAGGCCGAGGCTCAGCTCCCCAGAACAGCCGGGCTCCAGCCTGTACCTTGGCGTCAATCACTGCGGAGAAGAAGGTCCCAAAATCCTCTGCGGGCTGAAGGCATGGAGACACCAGAAGAGACAGAGTTGCCACAGGCCCCAAACAAAGGGGGCCCCTCCGGCACACCCCAGCCCCACCAGCTCAGAAGCCCCCAGCCCCCTCGCCCGCCCAGTGGGCCCAGCAGGAGGAAGGCACCGCTTACGTCGCCCACTTTGATCCTGCCGTGTTCCTCAAGCAGCCGCTGTTTGATCTGCGGCCACAGCGAGTGCGGCACGTAGAGGCGGGAGCAGGCCGAGCACTTCTGGCCCCCGTACTCGAAGGCCGAGCGCAGGGTCCCGCTCACCACGCTGTCCACGTCGGCGGAGCGGTGCACGAAGTGGAAGTTCTTCCCGCCGCACTCTACGGGGGCCGGGGTGGGGTGGGGTGGGGGAGGAAAGAAACAGTGGGCTCCCCCGCCAGCCCAGGGGCCCACCACACTGCACCGCCTACACCTATCCGTGGGGCCCTGTGACCAGCCCCCCCAATTCCGGGCAGACGAGAGCAGGAGAGGCACAGGGTCAGAGCTGGACGACGTCCAAGGAACCGAAGCGCCAGGCCTGTTCTCCCACTTGGCAGACAAGAACACTGACGCCCAAGGGTGGAGGGCATCAAAGGTCACCAGGACCAACCCCCCATTACACAGAGGGAAAACTGAGGCCAGGGGAGGGGTGTTGCCCAATACAACAGCAGAGGAAGGGCCACTCCACTTCCAGAGGCGGGCACAGCTATCTTTGAGCTTCCCCTAACCCCCCAATCCAGTGAGAGAAGAGGGGGCCACTCCCGTCAACCCCCAGGGCTCTGTCTTCCTTGGCCACAGCAGCTCATTCGCTGGAGGACTGACGCGTGAACAAATGAATCAAAAGCGCTCGCCCTGAGGCACAGGTGCTCTGCACAACCCCCAGACCTGCCAGAGCAGCGGCTCTGCGTCTAAGGCCCCGGGCCTCAGCCCCTGCAGGGCCGCCCCACCCATGGCCACCTCACCTTCTCCTCTCTCGTGATGGCCAGGGAAGGGAGAGGACCCTGCAGCCAGAGGGGAGGGGGTGGGGAGAGGGGCCCTTACCTCCAGCTAGGCGTGGGAAGGTGCGAAAGCGATCCAGGTTCTGGGCTACCTGCTTCCACAGGTGTTTAAAGGTGCTGAAATCAGAGGACAGGGTGGGGATGAGGAAACGACTTGGGTGCCTGTGAGGACGAGGGTCCTGGGGGATGGGCGCAGGCCCTGCCAGAGGAAAGGGCCAGAAACCCACGGGAGGAAGGCCAGGGTCAGCAGCCTAGGAAGAGGTGAGCAGGGGTCACATGGGGGAGGGGAGGACCCAGAAGGTGGGGGCAGCTGGAAATGAAAGGGGCAGCATCACAGGCCCATGGGGAGGAAGCAGGGCGGGGCTTGGTGGCAAGATGGTGCTGAGAAGACCAGGGGAGGGGCCGGTACTGGGTTCGAGCTCGGACTCAGACACCTGTGGCTGTGTGATCTTTCGCTCACCACTTAACCTCTCTGAGCCTCAAAGTCTGCACCTCATCTGGGAACTGGAGGGAACAGTCCCACTGGGCCGGGCTGTTCCATGGTTCGCTCCAGTCAGAGTCAAGTGCTCAGGACAGTGCTGGCCACACTGCGGGGGCCCGATGGAGGACAGATGCTGCCGCTGTCTGGGAGCTGTACCCCTAGCCCAGCCCCCAGGCTCTAGAGGCCGAACTGAGGAGGGTCCTGAGAGAGGAAGCCCAGGCCCCCGCCTTCTCTCTGGGCTCCAAGTGTGACCAACCTCAGCACCACAAAACAATAAAAATGCTAATCACCGGGGAGCCAGCGACACAGTAGCTAATACTAATTTATGACTTTCCCACCTTTAAGCCCCACGCTCACCGGAGCATGGCAAATGGGGCCCGGCCGCTCCGCCCGCTAACAGGCGGGGACCCATGGGGCCGGGACGGGCAGAGCAGGCCTTTTGCAAAAACGGCCCGCCTCAGCGATTCTAACGCCGCCATCGCCACCCTGCAAACTGTGGAGGGAGCGGGGGTGGGGGAGCCTGAGGCCAGCAGAGAGAAGCCACGGCAGGTGTCCCGGTGACATCTGGAGGGACCCCAGTGCTGACCCCGACATCTCCACCCAGACGACCCACAGGCACCCGAAACACAAAGCAACAAAATCGTGACTCATCTACACCCTGACCTTCCCGCTTCTGGGCCTCCCGGCGCTCACCTTGTGAACAACACCCCCTTGCCCTGAGCCTGGACATCCCCACTGACCCCCAACCCCAGACAGGTGATCGAATCTCCCTGCTCCTTTCTCACTTGAACCGGCCCACTTTCTTTCCCCCACTCCCACTGTCTCTTCCCTGGCTCAGGCCCCATCATTCCTGCTCGACAGACAGACTCCTGCCGGCTGCCTGCCTCCAGCACGGGCAGCATGTGGACAGAGCAGCCAGAGCCACCACCTAGGGCAGAGGCTGCAGACGCAGTGCCCAGAGGGGCAGGCAGGGGGCGACAGAGGCTGACGAGGCATGCAGAGATCTGTGGCCAGGCAGTGGAGGACCTAGAGGACCGGCCGGACTCCAGCCAGGGGAGCCACGTGGAAATGCAGGCCCAGGGGGCCCAGAATGTCCAGGATGTCCAAAGAAGCCATCGTGTGGATTTTGACATGAAACTGTCAGAGCTGTACAAGGTTGGCTCAAAAAAAAACAGAGCCATTTGCCAGGGCCCCCTGAGGAGCTACCATTTGTATTCTGCTTGAACCCTGACTAAGCCACTCCCCCGGCATGAAACCTTCGCTGTCTCCATCATCTTCGGGATAAAGTCCAGACACCTGTTAAGTCACGGGACCTTAGGGTCACGACTAACATCCCCTGAGAGGCGGGGCCTTGTCTGCTCCACGAGTTCACTGCCGAGTCTTGGCATGAGCAGCGTCCGGCTGAGCAGGTGGAGGAACAGCGGTCAGGACCCAACCGCGTCTCGCTGCCACCCTCTCAGCCCCGCCCCCCACTCCACACCGCAGCCACGTGGGACCACCACCACCTCCCGGAGTATAAGAGCTTCAGCATTAATCCTCTGCATGTGCTGCTCCCTCTCTGACAGCACTCCCGCCACCTCCTCGCCCTTTGCCTGGCCAACTCCTCAGCTTAGGTGCCACCTCCTCCAAGAAGCCTTCCTGACTCTCCTCCTCCAATTTATCCCAAACTCCCTTGAGCCCCTTCCAGTGGCAGAGATGGCATCAAAATCGGTATCGCCAAACACCTGTAAGCTGCTTCCAGCCCGTGAAGTCCTTTCTTGTTTGTTAACTAGTTCACGCCCCCTGGTTACTCTGCAAGGTAGGGATCGTCAATCCCGCTGTACAAGTGAAGAGACGGCGGCTCAGCAGGGTGAAGCGGCTCACCCACAGCCACACGGCAGGCGAGTGAGCACGGTCAGCGCCAGACCTCTGGGTTCATGGCCCCAGCTCCTGAACGGAGGTGAAAAGGAGGTCGCCCGGTGAATGTCCCTAAAGCTCCGCACCCCCCCCCCCCACCCCAGGGACTTACGGCACGCTGCCCGTGAAGTTGATACCGCACAGGTGCTCTGAGCTGGTGACAGTGTCCCCAAATGTGGGCCCGTCGGCCGGCACAAACTGGATGACGTTGGGGGGCAGGCCGGCCTCCCGGAGGACGCGGTAGACGGCGTAGCTGGCCAGCATGGCCGTGTCGCTGGGCTTCCACAGCACCACATTGCCCTGACCGGGAGACACAGGGACGACTCAGGAGGCCAGGGGACGCCAGCCCTGACTCCACTCCACCCAGAAGCGTGGTCACCCCTCACCTGGCACCACCAGGCCCCTGTGCAGGCCAGGACATCACCTACCCGACCCCGCGCCTCCAGGTGGCAGGCACTATGGCCTAAAAGCCCTCGCCAACACGACCGCAGCGGCCCTGCCTGCCCCTGCCCCGGCCAGGCTCCCGCCCTCTGGAGGCCTACACGGGCCGGTGCTGCCAGCACCCTGCGGGCAGCTCCGTTCTGGTGTTTCTGAGTGCTGGGTGCTCCCCGGGTGCGGCTGGGCAAGTGCTCACAGGGCTCTCGCTGCACGTGTCCCGGTGAGGGCACGTGTCCTGGGAAGGGCGCATGGGTGCCTGGTGCGCGCACTGAGGCACGAGGACGGCCCCGTACACGGGTGTCCCTCAGATCACCCGGCCCCCCCGAGTGGGGCCCAGGCCCCCGCTGACGCCCAGCCCTCTTCCTGCGACTCCTCAGCCACCCAGGCCCTCTGCAGGCAGGGCCGCGACCGCCCCATCAGGCCGGAAGCGCATGAGAGTGGTAGCCACTGCACTTCACCCTGGTAACGGCAGTGCAGCCCAGTGACCTCGAAACCCAGCCTGAGTCCTCATCTGCCCCGTCATTCACCAGCCGTGCGACCGAGCGGCCCTGGCGAACCAGCCACCGGGCACACGGCAAGCGTTGAGAGGTGAGCTGTAATTATCATCATCACTGGGGCGGGGGCAGGGAGGGGGCATCTGTCAGTGCCCACAATGAAAGTTTTTAAAAATCATCGTCATCACCAACAGGCACCGTTTGCTCGCCCGCACGGGGCCAGGCCTGCCTGGCATCCGACGTGCCCGGTCTCGTCGGCCCCTCACAACGCCGCGCCGCAGGCTTTCCCGTCGTCCCCACTTCGCAGATGAGCACACTGCCTCGGCACAGTGTGGGGGCTTAGCCCGGGTCACCCGGAGCAGGCTAAGCCGGGACCCAAACCAGCCTCGGACCCCAAAGCCTTTCCTCGGCCCCACACCGCCTCCGCCCTCCGAGCTCCTCCCCACGGCCAGGCCTGGGCCCCAGGGGCTTCAGCGTGGCCTTCTGTCTGCCGAGATGGGGCCGATGCTGAGCTCCCACCATCCCCGCCCGCTGCCCACGTCTCACCATCAAGGCCGGCGCCCCCGCCAGGTTGCCGCCGATGGCAGTGAAGTTGAACGGGGAGATGGCTGCCACGAAGCCCTGGAGACAGAGGAGGCAGTGAGGCCACACTTGAGGCATCCAGCGCCCCCTGCCGCCCCTACCTGTGGGTGGGTACCTCCAGCCCCCGGTACACCGTGCTGTTGGTGCTGGGCGGCACGCTGAGGGGCTGTTCCCCCTCCAGCTCCACGGCGAACTTGGCGTTGAATCGGAAGAAGTCGATCAGCTCGGCCGCGGCATCGATCTCCGCTTGGATCACGGTCTTACCCTGCGAGGCAGGAGGGCCAGGGGCTCAGCAGTGGCAGCTGTGCCCGTTAGCCCTCATGGGGGACCCTGTGCCCACGGTGACATCACGTGCAGGGTGCTGGCGGCTCCTGCCCGGGAAGAGCACATGTCCTCACTAGGCATGCTGGGCCAAGAGCCAGGAAGCCTGGCGGCTGCTAACACTTCCTTAGACTGTGGTGTTAACATTTCCTTCTTCCCGGCGGTGCAAGTGAACCACAGGGAAAGGGCCGCAAGAATGGGCCTTTCCCCAGCCAGAACGGCCCCGCTTGGCACACAGGGCCCCTGGCAGCTGCTCGCCCTGCTCAGCACACAGAGCCAAGGAGGCTGAGAGGCACCGCCCGCCCCTCCTCTGCACACAGCACGGCACCTCCTACAAGCTCCCAAGTCTTCAGTCAAACCAAGAGGCACCTCCATCTGGTCTTGGAGGTGCGTGTGTCTCTTACTGCCCAGTGTGGCTCACGGGGGGCACTCTGCAGCCTGGCCCCCACCCCAGGGGCTGCCGAGAGAGTCAGGGGGCACTCGGCAGGTACAGGGCCGTCATGCCGCCTCCGTGCGGCAGGGGACCATTCTCTGCTGGAAGGGCGCTGGGCTGCCCCGAACCCCTGCGGCTGTTTCCTGGGGACGGTGAATTCAACCCGTTCTCCCCGCTCTGCCCCTCTCCCTGCACCCTGGGCTGCTGCTGCTGCCGCCACTGTCGGGCTCAGAGGCGGTCACTCAAAAACATGGATCAGGCGCTTCCACAACTCCAGGGAAACACGACGCAAGGCCCGGAAAGATGGAGGACACTAACACGTGTGACTGTTCCCAGAAAGTTTGTAAAGGGGCAACACACACACAGGGAGTCATTACGCCCAACGCACTCTGAGCTGTAACTGACAAATGAACAGCATGCGATGGGGCGGGCCCGATCCTCCTGGACAGAGAAGGTTCTGGAAGTTTCACAGAGGAGACTATATCTGGGCTGGCTCTCGACAGGTCAGGGGACAGAGCAGAGCGAGCATTGCAGGCAGGGCACGTGGGGCAGAGGCAGGGAGAGGGGATGCCCGTGGTGTCCGGGAACCTCACTGGGTCCAGGTGGGTACCGTCCCCGGCAGGATGGCCTGGCGGGAAGGGCAGAGCAGCTGGCCAGCTGGACGGGGTGGAAATGCAGGGCCCCGGTGGGGGGGGCGGGGCTCAGGATCCAGGATGGGACACTCGGCGGCAGATCTGGGTGGTGCGTATGCCTGGAGGGACCTGCCGGAGGCGTCAGGAAAACCGGAGGGCTGCAGGAGTTGGACCGAGCCCAGAGGTCCGCACGGGGCAACTGTCAGTCCAGGGAGAGCATGACGGAGGCCCGGCCGAGGGTGGGGACAGGCCGGGCAGGGGGCGTTTCCACGGTAGGACACGCGGGCTTAGCACAGTGCACCTCGCCCAGCGTTGCGTGTGTGTCCGTTCCCTCTCCTAGGCCTCGTCCCTCGAGGACACCCCTGAGTCTCCAGCCAGCAGCCAGCAGCCCGGGTCTGGGCACCCAGACACTGCTCGGCTGACGCCAGCCGAAGTGGACAGGGCACAGCGGCCTCCCACCCAGCTGTGGCCGTGGGCGCCTCACCTGTCCCACCATGGTCTTGGCGAGGACCTCCGCCCTGCGCGGCCCACTCAGCATGTCCGCTGCCCTCAGGAAGATCTGGGCCCGGTCTGCGATGGGCTTCAGGTCCCACTCCTTCCTGGCGGCCAGGGCGGCCTCGATGGCTTTGTTGAGCAAGGCCTGGTGATGAGGAAAAGGTTGGGGGCTTCTTCCCGCAGGAGGGAGGGTCCCGCAGAAGGAGCGACGGGAGGAGAGGTCTGGCAGTCACGCTCCACCCGGGGAAGACCCCTACCCCCTGGGCCCTCAGTGCCCCCTCCCCGCAGCCGCTGACACTGTGTCCCACGGCCGGCCAGGCCACTCCAGGCTCGAAGCCTGTCCTGCTGCTGGTCTGGAGACGTTTGACCTGCCAGTCAGCTCAGCGCACCAAGCACGTAGCACTGAGGCCCTCAGCTGCTGACCCTGCTCCACTCCCTCCTGTGGTCTCCCCTGGGCCTCGCGCCCCAAAACCACCCTCCAGAGCCACCACGCCTGGAGGTCAGGGCCCTGGCCTTGCCCTCGCCAGGCCAGAGCCACAGCCCGAGGCACACACCTGCTGCGGGCAACCCAGGTGTCCATGGCCCTCACAGCCCCTCGACGCCAGCTCCCAGTCTCCCTGCCGCGGGTCACCCCCTCCCCTCTCGATGGCCCTCCATGATACCCATTCCCTGTCGGGCTTTCCATTCATGACGTCTCCAGTGTTTCCAGACTCAGCCTTCCAGAAATCTACCCCCACCCCCCCCACCCCAGACACCACGGCAATTGGCCTAACTGGGGACGCCCCGGCTCCGACCGAGGAGCTCCCACTGGGCTCGAGTTAACCACTGCATGCCCGGCCCAGTGAAAGACGCCCGGCCCAGTGAAAGACACCCACCCAGGGACGCCCTCAGGTCTGACTGCCCCAACTGCACCCCCATGGCCAGAGGGGAACTGTGTCTGACCCCACCCCCCATGAGCAGCCAGCAGGCCAAACAGGGGCAGCACCCTTACCCCAAAGTTGCCAGGGACTCACCTTGTCTGCATAGCAGAACTTGGCCACCTTGTGTGCATGGTTAAAGGGCTGAAAGGAGACAAGAGTGAGGTCACTGCCCAGGGGGCGGCACCAGGACGGGGTGGGGCTCAGAGCTGGCTTTCCAGGCAGGAGCCCTCGGCACGGCCACTCTCTGCCCCGCAGCCCCCCTGGAGCCTCCAATAGCCTGGCCCACGCTGACCTCTGCCCCCTGAGGTCACAGGGGCAACCTGCTGTTCTGTAAGACTTGGTTCCCGCTCCAGAAGGCTCCCGGTCCAGGAGAACAGCATGGACTGCACAGTCTTTCAGGGAAAGCATGGACTTCGTGGTCAGACAGACACGGGTTCGAATCTCCATCTGCCTCCCACTAGCTATAGGGCCCATGGAAGCTGACTTCCCCTCTCCAAGTCTACCCATCTACAGGATCGGGACTTCCCTGACTCCCAGCAAGGAGAGGACCACCTGGGGTCACAGGTGGAAATTCTTCAGACCCGCTCTGGCACGAGGCCATGACTCAGTGACGGGCACTGCCACCACACGAGGCCTGACACAATGCCCTGGTGGAGCGAGGCGCTCAGGACCCCCGCACGCCCCGAGGTCCCTGGGGCACAAGGAGCCATTGCCTCCAGAGCCCCTTGCATGGGACCCAGCTCACTCACCAAAGAGGGACAGCCCTAACGTTGACATGCAGACCCCGGCAGTGCTGGGTGCCAGCACGCACGGTAACGCAGGGAGACATCTCCCTTCTTCCCTACCCAAGGCTGACAGTGTTTTACACCGTAATTTGTTGGGAACCGCCCTGCCTGGGGGGGTTACAGCCAGAAGCTGTAACTCCCCCAGGGCTAAGGCTGAGTAAGCGACCTTTGGACCAGAAGCCACTAAGGAGACAAAGCTTATCTTCCTGGCATAAGCACCACTTCTGCTCCTTTTACTTCATCCATAACTGACCCCCAGTGCTTGATCAGTTAGCCAATGATGGGTAAGATTCCCCAAGGGGGGAACAACCTAAGACAGGCACGATCACGTGAGAGGCCCAAGGAAGGACTTGGGGGGCTATAGCAAAAGGGGGCCATGGACGCTCACCCCTCGGCTTTGACACAGCCTGAGTCCTCATCCTGTCTGGGAGAAGTCTCCTAATCTCTTGGCTGCCTTACTTCCTCTGCCTGACTTAAGCCTGAAACAATAACAGAGGGTGGTGCAGCCCTGGGCTGGAAAGGGCGGGTTCCCCAGGGCAATCAGGCCTAAGAAAGAATATGTAAAATCCTGTGAAACCTGCTTTGTTTAGAATGCTCTCAATTAAATAAGGGTCCAAGCAAGAAGTTTGTTACTCGAAGTTTTATTGTTCTTTAGCTCTCAGACCTTGACTCAGAACAGGCCCTCAGAGTTCTTTGTTATCTACTGTTTGATCCTCACTGCCTGACAATGATCAATGAGCTTTACTTGTATTCCTGTGCAAAACGAACCCAATAAAAGCCCACTGAGGAAAAGGCTCTTAGCCCTTCTCCTTTGAGAGATCGGGCACCTTTCCTCCCCAAGCAGGTCATGTCTTGGTAGAGTTATTCTCATCCATGGTGGCCGGGGGTGGGGGGGCCCTGCAGGTGGAGCCCCCCCACAGTAATTACCAACCCTCTGCCACCTGTTAGTCTGCCCACGGGCTGTGTGGGGCCTTCCTGTCTAACATGGCAGCCACTGGCCATATGACACGTAAGCTCAGCTCCTCAGCTGCACGAGGCATGTGTCATGCGCTCGGTAACCACGTGTGGCTGGTGGCTGCGGGGCAGACAGCATAGATGTAGGACGAATCCACCGTCAGAACAGAAAGTTCGACCGGGCTGTGCGGCCCAGGTCTCAGTAGAAAACGGCCCCTCCCCCTTCCTTTAATGCCTGGCACCATCACCTGTGTCTTGTCCATACCTGTGGCTGGCCTCTGACACCCAGGGGCCCAGGAAGGCAGCTAGGAGCCAGGCCCTTCAATTCAGCATGTCTGAACGGACTACGGATACCCCAAGTCAGCAGTGCGTCCCCGAGACACTGCTCCTGAGGCGGAGCTTGTGCGGGTGGGACAGGGCCTCACGGCAGTGTCTACAGAAGGAGCCTTGGCCCCGCCTGGCCACATCCTGGGCACTTATCTCAAAGGAGCTCATCCTCAGCTGGACCTGTGGTTCCCAAGCACAGACCAGAGCTTCAGCCACTGCCTTTCCTTTGGAAGGGTGGTCTCTAATTCTGACATTGTCTCCTTGCTTCCTAGGAGAGAGCGCTCAACGAGGCCATTTTTCTAAAGTGCTGGTGGAGCTGGTCCCAGTCACTGCTTTGAACACCTTCCCGGCAGGTGTGAAGCTCCACCTTGTCTGACAGCCCTGAGACCGCTTTTGGAAGTTGCACATGGGTGCGTGGAAGCCCCAGGTCTGGGAGCGGGCTGGGAAACCTCTGGAGGCGGAGATCCCACCTCACACACACATGTGCTGCCCGAGAGACAGACCCCAGGTTCAGGGAGGGGCCGAGCCCGGCCCACCCACCGCACTCACCGACACCTGGTACTGCACGTCCGCGGTCCACACCTCCTCGTCCCCCACCACGCACGGGATGGCTTCCGTCCGGCCCTTCAGGTCCTTCAAGGCCTGGGGAGAGGACGAGATTCCCGTTTTCCTGCCTAAAACCTGACGCAGAGTCTGCAGGTGCAGATGCCTGGGCGGGACCAGCTGGGCCAGGTCTGTGGCTAGGGAGAGTGTGCTCCTCTGCAGGGGTGGGGAGGGGCGCAGCAGGACTCAGCCCCCTCCACTGCCACCTCCTGTCTGTCACGCAGGAAGGTCAGGTTTCCCATTACAAAAGAAGATTTAAAAAACTGCACCTGCAATTCACACGGAATCTCACCATTCTTAAAATACTGGCGATTAATGGGACAACACGTTGAAGCATAAAGTGTCTGCAAGCCTATGGCCCCTGACTGGCATGGAGGCCCCAAAGTGGCCCCGGTTGCCACCTGGCTGCTCACAGCCCCTCCCACACTCCAGACACGCAGCCAGTCCCCAGACCCCAGGTTTCCGTCCGGGTCTGGGAGCAGGGGCAGGAGGGGGCAATGGCTGCAGGCACAGAGCAGCACCGTGGGCTGGCTGAAGACTGACTCTGCTCCACGCCCTACACCCGCTAGCACCCCCTTCCTTACCTTCTGCAGGGCATCTCGCTCGGGGCTGCCCTGCGTGAAGGCCAAGATGGGCTCGTTGGCTACCTTCAGGGAGGAGGTGTGTTTCCACCGAAGCCTGGGTGCAAACACGGAGGAGAGAGGCGGACAGGTCAGCGGGGACCACCAGAGATCCAGCCCCTCTGTCTCCAACAGGGGATCCCGGGATGGCCCAGGACCCTGAAATCCAGAGCAACTACAGAACTGGCAGGGCGAGGCAGGCCTTGGGGTGCAAAAATCCAAGTTCAAGTCCCAGTCCTGCTACTGTGTTCCCTTGGGCATGCTGAGCTGCCTCCTCTGAGCCTGTTTCTACATCCAGGAAGTAAGAACAATGATACAAACTCACACGGGTGTTTGAAGTTTAAATCCACAGACACGAAACCATTTCTGAAGTGTTTGCACATGGAGAGGGGTCATTTCCCTTCCTTTCCCTGCAATGCAAACTTGATTACAAAACAGACCCAGTCTCTTTGTCTACGCTGAGAAGGCAGGACATTCCAGAGCTGGGTCCCCTCAGAACTGAAGCAGCTGACAGTCCCAGGCACAAAGACGTGCACTCGGGGTGAGCAGGAAGTCCAAGATGTGGACCATGAACTTGGAGCAGTGCCCTGCGCTCAGTGCACAGAGACGGGGAGGGCTGGTCTGGGGTTTCAGCGTCAGAGTCCTGGGTGCTGAGTTTCGAGAATGCCCTGCTCTGGCACTGCTCTTCCGTCTGGAACCTCGGGACCTCACTAATAGTGACCACCACCCCTAACGTGTCTGGGGTCGCAGGTGCAAGGACACATGGGTAAGATGTCAGGGCCGGTCATCCCGGAGCTGGAGCCTCAGTGTCCTCTCTGTAAAGGAGGACATCAACGACGAAGGCCACCCAACACACACAGGGCTTGTCAGACTCCAGAACGCCTCCCATCCATCACGGACGGGTCGGATGGGTCTTGCCAGCAGCCCCCCTGAAGAAATAAGGGGACTGAAATCCTAGAAGGGAAATGACTCGTTTCAGACCAAGATAAGGAGAGATCCGGATTTGCATCTGGAAAAAACCCAGAGATCACCCCCTCTAGTGCCCACGTCCCCAGCCAGAGGCCGGCAGGGGCACCCCAGCAGTGGGAGAGGCAGGTTCCTATTTGACGCAGGAGGGAGAATGCACGTCTGAGGGTGCAGGCCTCGTTTAGCAGGAGGGGAGGTGTCTGGTACTTTGGGGTGGCACAGTGACCCTGGGTTCATCTGTGCCTGCACAAAACTAGGGCGGCTATTGTCACGGCTCACCGCATCACGGCCTCAGAGGGACCTGGCTGAGGCCCGTGCTCGGTGGGCTGGCTCGTGCCCTGCAGGAGAACGACATTCGGTCAGGGGCACCTTTCCCTTCCTCGGTGGGAAGAGGTCTGGGGGCTCACAGAGCCAGCCGAGGAGGCCGGGAGGAAGGATACGAAGAGGGGGCCGTGAGGGCCCGTCCCGAATTCATCTCCCTGGTTGCCGGCCACCTGCTGCATCTCTGCCGCTGTTCTAGACCCTGCAGGCACAGTGGTGACCCAGACAGCAGGGCCTCTGGCTGCACGCCACTGACCTCCATGGGGGACACAGGCGAGAAATAAACACTAAAAGGACAGAAGGGACCCGAAAATGAGTGGTGCAGCCACATGACCCAGGGTGGTCAGGGAGGGCTTCTCTGAGGAGGAGAGCTCAGCGGAGACCAGGAGGGGGTTTGAGAAGAGCTGGGAGAAGCGGCTCAGGCCCAGGAGAGAGCCTAAAGGGGCCTGAGTGGTGAGGGGCGGGGCTGAGTCTCGCAAGATGCCCGAGGGCAAGGCAGGGGTGGACCTTCCCCCTTTCCCCCACCCCACCCAGGCCACACCCACCAGACCCGAGGCAGCCAGTCACCGGCCTCAGGCCCCACCTTCCCCCCACAGGAGGCTCAGCTTCCCAGTAGTCGTGTGGCCCTGGGCAAGTCACCGACTACGGGTGCCACCCATGTCGTGGGGTTACTGTGGAGTCCTGAAGAGATAATAATGCCAAGCCACAGGGGTGCTCCATAAATTCAAGTCCATGCTGCTCCTTCCACCCATCGTAGTGGGGAAAGGCAGAGAGGCCAGACGAGTCCAGCACGGGGAGGGCGGTGTCTACTCCTAGTGTTACAGGGTGCAGCCAAGAGGGGGGACCCCAAATGGGCATTTGAAATGGGGTCCAGAACTTAAGGTGTCCAGGAGATTTTAAGATGTCTCCAACCCCACCCCCCCACAGTGTGGGTTGGGGGAAGGGACAAATGGAGCAGGGCCATTGAGAGCTGTTTTGCATAGCAACAGCCTTGCAGCTACCCTCTGGCGTGGTCATTTAACATATCTATAGCCTTTGGCTGGTCGCTTAGATATGTTAAATAGCTGTGGCCAGGCTCTGAGCCAGGGGAATGGAAGTAACTACCCCACCAAGACGTGACTCGGGGCAGATCTCCCAAGCTACAGTGCCTGCCTGGGAGCTCGGAGAAGATTGGCTCCAGGACATGGGGCCACACCTGCCCAGACTCATGATGGCAGCCCAGTAAACCTGGAAGGATACGAGTTCTGGCAGGCGAAGCCGAGTGTGGGAGGAGTCGGAAATGAGGCTGCAGAGGAAGATTGGCCATGGAGATTTAAAACCCAGACTTTGGCGGCCATTGGAAGGAGAACCATGTGCAGCCCTGAGAAGGAGAGCCATGCACAGCCCTGAGGAGGAGAACCGTGCTGCTTTAGGAGAGAGAACCACGCGGCCTTGACAGAGTGGAGGCTCCCGCAGCCCTGAGAGGGAGAACCACGAGGCCTAGACAGAACGGGGACCCCCACAGCTTTAGAAGGGGAACCACCACCTGGTTTTAGCAGAGATCCCGGCGACTCAGCCGAGGGTGCCGGGAACCCAGGGAGGTCTCCCAGTCGAGATGGAGTATTAACTGGGAAGACTGCCTGAGCCATGAACTTCTATTTCCTTTCCTGAGATACTGTACTCTGGACTGGGCAAAGGGGGAAGGAATGAAGGACTGTGTCTGTTTGTGGGTGTTTTAAGGGACTTTAGGATTGTTGATGAAGACATTAGGTCACTACTTGAAGTCTGTATAGCATCAAATAAACATTTCCTTTCCTTTTCACGAATCTCTGGCATTGAGAGACGTCTTTCCTAGGGTGGCGGACATAACGGACCCGGGGCCTTCTTTCAATAATCGTATACCATCCCAGGCCCCCTTGTTGTTTGTTCTGTAACACTAGGGCCATCTGGAAGGTTCCAGCGGCCCCTCTGGGCCTCAGGAGCAGCTTACCACCACCAATCAGCAATGGGTACGGCCCGGTCCTCTTTAAGCCAAGAGAGTGCAGCTGAGAGCAGCAGAGGAGGAGGGCTGGGCTGGAGCCAGGAGTTGGGGGTCCCCCTCTCTGAACCCCAGCTTCTGCTGGGTGGGAAAAGCACAGGCTCTGAGGCAGACATGTCCTGGGCCAAAGCCCACACCTGTGCCGAGACCACAGCCCATCCATCGTTCTCAATGCTGCGGGCCCCTGCCCCTCACCTGAGAGATAGGGGTAGGCCCGGGGTTCCTTGCAAGAACCACTGTAAACTCGCTTGCCTTTCCTCACCCCTTGCCCTTAGGTTTTTCTAAGAAATCAGTAAAGGTCTTCCAGAGTGGTCACTGCACCACGCGGGGCTTTCAAAGGCAAACTGGTTCCCAGACACCCCCGAGGGTCAGAGGTTGGACCCCCGAGCCCAGCAAACCCTGCTGGAACCAACAGCACCACATTCCACCCCAGGGCAGAAGCTGCAAATGCCGGTGCTCCCAGCTCTCCCTTTCCCGCTCCCTCCCAGAGTCCTGCAGGCCTGCTCCGCCGCCCCCAGGGCAGAGGTCCACTGGGAGCCTGGATCACATACCACTGGGCTTCCTCTGGGCCTGCAGAGTCCAAGCCCCGGCACGGCACAGCCGTCAGTCAGCTGAGTGTGGCCCAGGGGGCGGAGACTAGTTCAAAGATCAGCCCGAGTGAGGCAGAGCCAAAAACCAATCAACCGATCGATAAATCCAAGGACTCTTGTCAAACATGGTTTGGTTCTTCTTTTTCTTTTTGGGCTCATGGGCCATTTGGAATCAACAGGAACACCCTTCCATTGCCTTGGGAAAAGGTGTAGATGGATCACTCGCAAAACCTGGGGCCTCCAGGGGGGCCAGCAAGGCCCGACCGGACAGGACTGCGCCGCCCACTCAGGCACACGGCCACTCCACCTCCAGGACTCGGCGAGGACGCAGCGAGGTGGGAAACGCTGGCGCGGTTTCTCCCCACAGGTGTCCTGGGCACCCACTGGGCGCCTGGCTCTGGGAGGCAGAGAGGACCCCACCCCGACCCTCCCCCACTGAAGGAGGGAGGCGCAGGGCAGGGTCCAAATTTGCCTCGGATTCCCTAACAACCTGGAGCGCCCCTCCCAAACCCCCGGGGACCTCACAGCCTGGGCAGGAGACCTGAGCTGCACCCCCACACACCCCGTGCAGGTGCCAGGATCACAGCTAAAAAAGCCACATCAGAACATCCCCTGACATGACTGGTGTCAGGGCTGGACAGAGCCTCGGGCCAGCCGACGACGATGCCACCTCAGAAATTTGCAGAGGGAAAAACTGTGGGGAAGGGGGTAGGGGCTGGGGGCGCAGAGCCCGGTTTCCCTCCCAGGTTAGCTGCGGACCACACCCTGGAGCACAGCACCACCAGCTTTTGCAGCGGCCACTCCTGCTCCACTGTCACCAAGCAACCCTCCAATCCCAGCCAAAGTTACAGTTGTAACATGAACATCCCACCATCAGACACAGAGAGACAGAGTAAACGCTCGGCTCAACGCTACGCAGCGGCCTCTTGTCTCTTGCGTCATAAAAAGTCAGACTCCCCAAAGGCCACCAGACCCATTTCCCGTGCTGCCCCCCGCCCACCGCTACGTCTGCTGGGATCCAGCCACCCCGGTCACGTTGGTGGTCCCCTCTGCGTGGGACGCTCTTCACGCGGCAGGCCTCACACCACCTGGACGGGCCCCCGCGGATCCTCTTTAGCCCCCCACTTGTCTCACGGCAGGGGCACCAGCCCTCACCCCGGAGCTCTGACCGGCCATCAGTGCTCCCACCAGGCCATACGCTCTGCTTGGCCGGCCCGTGTCCATCCCATCCGCCACCGACTCCCTGCCCGGTCCAGGGCACGCATTCAAGAAACACCTTTTAGAGCAGTTCACGCCCAAGTGATGACAGAGCTGACACTCAAACTGGACTCCTGGGCCAGTGCCCTCCTGCTGAGACCTGGGGCTGGACGCAGGTCCCCATGGGCTCCCCAGGGGCTGAGGTCAGGGGCGGCCAGGGCCAAGAAGGGGAGTAGAAAGGGAATTACTCCTGTTTCATTTGGCACCCAGGCTTTCCCAACAGTTATCTGAAACCTAATAAGGCTAATCTTTCTTATCACAGAAAAGGGGCCAGCAGGGGAGGTGAGCGGGGGAGTGTGGGGCCCGGCGCGGGTCCAACAAGCAGGGAGGGGCATCGAGCCCAGGACGTTGTGCTTCCACTTTATTGCCCCGGAAAACATCAAGGGGCATTTATTAAGCACTTACAACTCGCCTGGCCCTACGCTAAGTGATTATCTCATTGATCCCACCCTACAAAAGTACTACTACTTCCACTCAGCAGATGAGGAAACTGAGGTTAAGAGATTGCGTTACTCCTCACGGCTGGTGACCCAGTGATGGGGCAGGGTCTGAACCCAGGTCTCCCTCGCTCGGGAGATACACCCTAAGGCAGATGCACCTGGATCATCTGAGAGACCCGTGGTCAGCTGCGGCTGGCGGGACAGGTTCCTCCACCCGAGGTAAGAGGCCACCCCGAGACAGACAGTGGCTTGCCCGAGGTCACACAGTGGCCCCCTGGCACTGCTGGCTCAGCCCAGGGATTCCCATTGCACGACGCTGTCTCTGCCAGGAAAGGGGAGGTCTGGGGGTAGAGAGCTCCCCACAGAGGGCAGATGTCTCCTCCGCCCCCCGGGACGGGCTTGTGTGCGCATCAGGGTGATGAATGAGAGGGAAGGGAGAGGGCTGAGGACATCTGAGCTCCACGCCTGCCACCATCCCTGTGCCACAGGGACCCTCTTGTCCTGATGGTCCTGACAAAGGACGGTCATTCAGGGGAGCTCGCTGGTGGGGCAGGGGATCCAAATAAGGACGGAGCAACACTTACTCGGCTCTCCGGGTGCCAGACACTTGCAAGCGGTTTTCGGGTGTGAACTCATTCCATCCCCAAGACAATTCTATTATCTTTATTTTCCACAGGAGAACACGAGGCAGCCCAGAAAGGTCACAATGTGCCCAGGGCTGTAGACCTGCTAACGGCTGGAGCCGGGACCCAACCCCACGCTGCCCTCTGCCCCTTCCAACAGGAACAGTTTAGCACCTACTATGTGCCGAGCCAGGTGCTGGGCCCCGGAAGTGAGTGCTCCAGAGTGTGTCAGTGTCAACTGCTGCCTGAGCGGGGCCTTTCTAGCCACTTCAGAAGCAAGTCTTAGGTTCACGGTAGGTTCCACTCACTCCACATCCAATCGTGGCAGAGTGCACCCCGGGGGCCAGGCCCCCAGCATTTCATTGAGCTCCTTCAGGCTCGTCCCAGGCCCTAACCTAGTAAACGCCAGGCCTGCCAGTGGACTGCCCCGCCCCCCTCTCGTGGCCCTGACTCCCCGCCCTTTTCTCTATTCCATTCGCTTTATCACGGGGGTCCTCAGTTATGTCTTTGCAAAGAGCCAAGATACCCACCTATATTTATGTATAAATTTAACAAATGGAAAAAAAAAACAAAAAAACCCTAGCCCAGGCCCAAGCACATGGTAAGTTTACAATGAATGTTAATTGTTGTCCCTTACTTGCTCTTGTGCCAGGCCCCCTAATGACACAGGGGATAAAATCGGTAACACTGTAATAGCTACGCGCGGTGCCAGATGGGAACCAGATGTGGCGATCACTTTGTAAGGTGTATAAATGTCCAATCACTGTGCTACACGCCTGAAACTAATATAATATTATATGGTGACTATAAACCTTTTAAAAAAGTATTTGCAGAAGAGCCTGCTGTTGTTTTTTAAGCTGATATATTCCTGGAAAGTCAAAAGATATGAATTAAAATGCTGACAGTGATTATCTGTGTGGTGAGCTTACTGGGATGTTTGTATTCTTTTTTGCATTGTCTGGACTTTTTACTATGAACACAGACTAATTAAATAAAAAGAAAAGCCAGTCAAAAGTATCTTTAAAAAGTGGCTGAGATTCCTGGTACTCTGGGCAAAAAGGGAAACACTGAAGAACGTCACCTGCACGCGGTGGTTTCTCAGTGAACCATTCGGTCTCCGGGACTCCCATCTGGAGTCCGGGGCGGGGAGGGGGTGTCTCAGAGTGCAGGGAGGCCTGCGAATGGGACAGGCTGTGCCAAGTGTGGCCCCAACCTTGGCTCAGGGGAGACGCCCTTCCCTACCCAGTCCCCACCCACAGAGGACACACGGCAGTACCAAATTCCTGCCCAGGGCGCTGCTATGCTGCCCCTCAGGACACTGATTAAGTCAGCAAAGGCTGAGCTCAGCAGAAGAGGCAAGCTAGCCACAGTCGTAGGGGTCAGGCAAACAAACCTCAAACAGGGGGCGGGGCTGCTCAGCTCTGAAAGAGAAACATGCTCCCTTAACGGGGCAGCCTTGCCAGACCTTGAGCCCCTCCCAAGCAGGGTCTGTGTCTTACCTCCCCACTCAGCCCACGGCAGAAAGCAACTCTGAGAACATTTGTCACTGAGTGAGCGAGGGTCTAGGAAGCCAACGCTACACTGTGGGCATCTGCAAATCTGGGTTTGCAGGGCACCTCCACTCGGCAAACACACCTGGGCTTCTCCATCGGTAATTTCAAAGAAATACGACCTACCACACAGAAGGTTAAATACACGTGATAATGACGATCAGGACAATAACTGAGCATTGCCTGTGCGCCTGCCACCGTTCAATGCACTTTAATGTACTAACTCATTCATGCATTACAGTACAACATATACCAAACGCCCAGCACAGCGTTTGGCACATTATAACCACTCCATCAACATTATTCCACCTACCACAAGAAAGGAGTCCCTTTTCTGCCCAACACTTAACTTGAAAAAAAGGGTGGGGGGGAGAGGAAGAGAGAGGTAGAAATCCCGGTAGAGAGACGAGAGGGAAGACTGGGAATCCCAAAGGTGGGTCCTGAATGTGAGACCGAGGGAGGGGAGGGGAGGGAAGAGTGTGGTGTGCCCCGGGAGGAAGCCAGCGCAATCTGGTAGTGGGCACATTTTAAAGATCCGTGTTGAGAGCAAAACAAGTACATAGGAGGCTATTCTCCGAGCGTGGGAGCCGAGAGAGCACCAAGGCACCGCAATCGGCCATAGGATTCGGGAAGAGGGTTCCCCTTGCTGTAGGAAGAAGACTTGGGAGTCGCAGAGGGAGGAAGACCTGGGTGGTGGCAGTAATCACTGGAGAAAGAGACCTGCGCGGAGGGGAGCCCCTGAGAACCCCGCGGGAGTCCGGCAGGGGCGGAGTCCCCTGCGGAGGACGCCCAGCAACTCCTGGGACCCCGGGCCAGCAGCGTCGCTCGGGGCTTCCCTAGGCCCTGTGCTCACTCACCTGGCCCCACTCCAGGGGCAGCCAAGCAGGGCACGACGAAGGGCAGGTTGCAGCATCATCTCCAGCTCCAGGTGCTGCTGTCCGCAGAACCAGCCACTCCGAGCGCAGCTGACCTCGGGGCCCCACCCGGAGCGCTCTACCTCGGAAAGAAGGGGATTCCGGTCACTCCGGCCGTCCTATGAGTCAGGGCCAACGGAAACACCTCTATACTTTCCTATGTTAATAAGTAATTTCCTTTTCTAGTGCATGGGAGAGGACATTACGCGACACAGAGCAAGGAAGTACAAAAGGGAAGTCTTGAAATACACACGATTCTCCCTCCTCTCTTTATGGTATGATCCATTTGCCTCCCAAAGAGCCCATAGCCCGGGGGGGTGGGAGGGGCATCGGCCAATCAGAGTGATACATGGAAGTTTCTGGGCCAATCAGAGGGGTGGTTATGTCGCAATCTTCTACGGCCAGGGGTGGGGCTGAAAGAGCCAATGAGAGAGCAGGAATGGTACAAGTGTGGGCGGGGTGTAAGGTCCACCGGTCTGCGCGTAAGGAGCGCAGAGGTCCCAGCCCTTTGGCCTGGGGTTACCACTCCTTTTCCTCTGCGGGGCCTGGAGTGCATTCCCTGGGAGGGGACTGCAGTCCCTGGCTCCAGCTCCCTCTCCGGGACCAAGTCACCCTCCGCCTCGCGGCCTGGGGCTGGACCACCCGGCTTCCCGGGACCAGGCGCCTAGATAAGCAGCCTGACTCCTTGAAGAAGACTGAGGTCTATAAAAGAGACAACCTGGGCTGGTTATGCCTGGCTTTTCTTTCAGAATTTCTAGCCCCGGAACCAGCTGCTCCTGCGCTTTATTCCCTCCCCGACCCCCGACCTCGGATCAGAATTTCAGTTTTCAATTGGAGAAGTTTGGTGAAGGCTTGAATGTTATTTAAAACTCAGATTCTGAAGCTTTTCTGATGACGGGGATCTTAGGGCCCCATTCTATTGCTCAAGTACTGTTTCAGCTTTTCTTACACTCTCTTCTAATTTATCTGTTTATATTTCCTCCAGCAGCGTGTTCCAAGAACCTGCTTAGTAGTCCCATCCAATGCTGATTGCAGTTCCTCCCTATCACACTGGCAAAATACAGACCTTCCCTGGGCCTCAGTTTCCCTGTCTATAATGTGGGAGTAATAATGCCCACCTTAGAATGACTTCATTATATCATGTTACTCTTTCTTCAGAAGATCACACTCAGGGAATATAAACACTTGGTAGTGGGAAAGAGAAACTACAGTGAGCGTAAGTCTTGCATGTGGCGAAAAGCGAATTGGGATTGGTGGTGGCTGTCTCGCCTCATCCTTGAGGAAAACCTCAGCCAGGGGACCCAGTTCATATGGGGCAATGTCTCCCTGAATGTGGCCACTAATAAGAAGAAACTACAACATCAGACAATGTCAAATCCAGAGGCTGGGGGTGGGGTGGCCTCATGGGCAGAGGGGAAATTGAGGAAATGGGAGTTTGGTGGATTAACAGGACCACCACACCAAACCAGGTGCTGCCAATCACTCACCCTGCCATCTCTCTGGCTCTCGCTTCCCCTTTTGTAAAACGTCTATCGTAAATCCTGCTTTCCCTGCTTGTAAAGATTTTATTGTGAGATGCAAATGTAACAGATGATGTGAAGTTTCCCTATTTTATCACTCAGGGGCTAATTAGTTTGTATTAAATGTTTATATGAGCCTCAATCCTCCTGGCCCTCCCCTATCACCACTTTATCCTCCATTTAAAAAAAAAATGTACGCCATCAATTCTAAGACATTTCACTTTATTTAAAAGAAGCCAATATACAGGATATAAAGGGCATGATATTTACAACAGTACAGTAAACAGGTTGGTTTCCTGGTAGGATCAGTAGTCTTTCAATGAGTAGAACCACTCCCCCCGCCTTGAGCCTAGACCCAGCTGGCAGACAAACAGCAACAGTGGGGTGGGGTGGGATTACAAATCACAGAGGTGCTAAAATGTCCACAAAGGGATCTTGGGGGTAGCGGGTGCCTCTGCCTCATTTCTTTGAGGGCTTGGCAGCAAGAAGAGTGAGGGATTTGCCCCAAGACTAACACATGCCCCCCCCAAGCCTGGAAATCTCCCACCCATGGAAAACTCCCTTCCAGAGAGAACCCACCTTCACCCACACCCACCCGGTCATCTCCAGATGCCCACTGTAGACGAGTGCCCTTCTAGGACCAGAGCTTGGAGTCTCCAGGTAGAGGACGCAGGTCTGGGGGAGCCCCCAGCACCCTAATCCCTCATCCTGGGCCCCGAAGGAGCACATAAAGATTGGCAGCCCAGGCAGTGGGCACAGCCAGGGCTGTGGGCACAGCCAGGGCTCTGGGCACCTCATGGCACTTCCACTCCGGCGCCAGCTGCCTAACAGCCCCAAGGAAGCCGTGTGGCACCTGAACTCAGAGCCCCGTTGCCGCCCACACCCTCCCAAACACAGCTGATTTGGAAGTGGATCCTGGCATAGTTCGAGAAGCTAACTGCAGCCCACTCTCGAAGCAGAGCTGGTCCCCTGTCTAGTGCCCCCTCTCCCTCCCCCCGCCCACCTCAATTCTGAATTCCCCACTGGCCACCCACTCCCACAAGTGCCCTCCCCCGTAAGACTTCCAAGGACCCAGGAGCTGGGGGATCAGGGTACAGGGAAATGGAGTGAGGTGGGGTCTATACTCTGCCGGAGCCGCTCATGGGGGTGGATGAGTAGGTGGTGAGGACAGGGGGACAGGGAGAGGGGTACCGATTATATTAAATCCAGCAGCAACATGCATCGTGCCCACAGAAAAATGCTGGGCGCCCACAACTGCCTACCCTATATTAAAAAACCCTTCCTTTCATAAAAATAGATAAGAGGATCTTGCTTTATAAATAGACTACATTTAGCTTAAGTTATCCCCTGCCCCGCACCCTCTCCCTCATCCCAAGCCAAAGTCTGAGCTGTATCCACAGAGCCAAGTCCGAGACGGACTCGCCCTTCCGAGACCTCAAGACATATTGCCACAAGAAAACAAAACGCGTTCACGAGGAGTGTGTGTGTGTGCGTGTGCGTGTGTGCGTTTCACAACCAGGGAACCAAAATGAATTGCTGTCCCTGCCCCTCCCCAACCCTCTCTGTGTACAAACCCCCCCCAAAATAGGAGAGTGTGAGAGAGGGCAGCCCAGGAGAGCCCGCCGGAGAACAGCCTAAAATACCAGTGTCAATGTGACCCTGGGCTGAGCAATAGAAAACCAAAATCAAGTATTTACAGCTTTACAAAGGATGGCCCAGCGCGTCCCGTCCGGACCTGGGGCTGCCTCAGAGAGCGCTGGGGACTTTCTTGGCGAGCCGTGGGCTCACGGCGAGGGGACAAGCAGGGCGACTAACTCAAAAAAGAACTTGGGGGGGGAGGAGGGAGCCAGGCCAAGGCCCAGGGCCCTGCCCAGGAAATAAGCCACACCCTTGCTGGTCCCCCTCCCCCCACCTGCCTGCCCCAAATCCTTGCTCCCCAGGAGAACACAGCTATCATAGCTATCGACAGCCGACCACCGGCAGGAAGAAACTTCTCAGCCAGTGCCTGTCTCTGGCTCCTGCCCTTCCCATAGTCCTTGGACAAATTCAGGGTCCCGTATCCCCAATGTCGACAAAGGGGAAAGCAAGAATAAACCACCGGACGCCAGTCACCATGGCGACCTTAGTCACCCTCAAACTACACTGTTGCCTTTCCGTCTTAATTCTAAAGATAGGTCTGTCGCCACCCCCCCCCCCCCCCCCAGGAACAACCCAGGGCTGGCTTCCACCAGACCACACCCTTCGATGCCTCCCACAGCCCTGGACGGTGGAGGCTGCGGGGAGGCAGCCATTGCCTGCCCTGCCCCTGGAAACGGAAACTCTTTTTAGCAGCTGAGGTTCAAGCCCAACTGGCTCTGATAACCTTTGGTTAAAATAAAGCTAAACTAAAACGACAATAACAATAACAGCAATACTAGGCAGGTGTGTCTGAACCCTGTAACCTTTAGAACAAGGGTCGGTAAGGAGGAGGGGAGGGGCTGTCTCTCCCCCCAAACCCCTGGCCCTCCCTGTACCTACCAAGGGCCTGTGTGTGTGGTGCCTGAGAGACTCGGGGCCCAGGAGCCTCCCAGCCAGACTGCCACAGGCAACAGTCCCGTGTTCCCCCAACGACATCAAAAAGGAAAAATTAGGAAAAAAACTAGAGGCTGCCAAGTGCTGATAAATAAAAACAACACACCGTCACTAACGCGCTCTTTCTCTCTCACTTTCTCTCTCTCTCTCTCTCTCTCTATATATATATATATTCTGTGAATATTATGTACAATGGTTTTAAGACTGCAAAACAGGTGCGGGAAACAGAGGAGAAAGAAGGCCCTTAAAGGTGGCTGGTACCCTGGGGAGGAAGGACTGGGGACCAAAACCTACTCAGAGCGAGAGCCCCGCCTCCGCCTCTAGACAGAAGCAGTGGATGGTCAGGGGCTCTGGCCCCAGGGGCACAGTGTGCTCCTTTGACCTCCAGGGGGAGCTGTCGGGCCAACAAAAGCAAAAACCGGCAATCAGACCCACAGGAGTGGGTACAAAAGAATTTTTTGTTTGTTTGTTTTTGTAAAAAGCAAAACCGGGTCAGCTGGCTCCAAGCTGAGATCTGGCGGGCGGCCCGAACACAGCGCTCTTCAACGCTGGTCCACTCAGGTGCTGGGGAGAGACGGGCCCCGTTAACGCCCCAGCTGGTCAGTCAAGAGAAGTGGGGCAAGAAGCTCACATCTGTCCAGCAAGGATGGATCTCACTCGAGCGCCAGCTCCCGCCACCTCCGCTCTCCCAGCAGCCCTCACTGCCTGCCCCTCGTCCCTGTCCCGTGCAGGCCCGTGGCCAAACAGTGGGCGGCTGGGGCCCATGGGGAACCGAGGTGGCGGCAGGTGGGCCCACAGGGCTCCACGGAGGAAGGGCCACAGCAGGCCTGGCCCCCTTCAGACTTTCTCACAGAGAAATTAAAGACCCAGAACGCCGAAGAGTTGGCTGGGAGGAGAGGGAAAACATCAAGTCATCAGGGCAGTAAAAGGCCCTCCAAACCCACAGAGGTCCCAAGAAAGCGAACAGGCAGCCAAAGGCCTCCTTATTGACCTTGAACACACCCCTTCAGAGGCCGCGAGAGACGTCGCGCTAGCGTGGCCTCCCTCCCAGCTCCAAGGGAAAATCAGGAGTCTGGGAGAGGGCCTGCCTTCCACAATGTATAAGGCAAGCTGCTTTTGTGTGTGTGTGTGTGTTTTGTTTTTTGCATAGTGGTTTAAACACAGTGAGGCTCCGCCTTCCCCCCACAGTGCCTTGTCCCTCCGCTTCGCCACTCGATCCGAAAAGAAAATAAAAATGTGTCTCCCCTCCCTCCTTCCATCTTTTCCCCTTTTGATAAGTGGAAAACGCCTTGGGAGGTCCCCACCCAAGGGAGTTAGCAGAGGCAAACAGCTCTGTCCCGGGCGGAGGCGGACCACCCCAGGCCCGACTCGCTGAGCACTGGCCAGCAGAGGAGAGGAGGGCAGAGGTCACGGCCAATCAGAGGAGCAGTGGGAGGGTAGAAAACCACACTATACCCCTCGGGGCCCCGCCCTCACCTTCAAGTTTTGTATAAAAACACCTGCTAGGAATAATTCTTTGGAGCTCAAAGTGGCTCAGCTTAAGGGAAAAGGCACGGTTAACACTGCATCATCTGGACAGAAGTCTGCATTTGTAACATGGAGAATAGAAATTGAGAGCACCATTCCTTGGGTGGGTGGGTGGGTGGACAGGGGCACTGGTTGATGGGTGGGAGGGAGGGAGGGAGGAAGCAGCGGTCCCTCGGGGCCTCCGGAGAAGGGCGGGCAGAGGAAGTCTGTGTGGTGAGGACTGGGGCCCCACTCCGAGGAGCCTTCCTGGCTTCGTGGGGAGGGGGGCAGAGGCCCCGTCACCAAGACCACCAGGCACCGGGGACTCAGTCATCAGCTGACCATGGGCTCCACGTCTGCCTCCCGCTCAAACTCGTCCTGAATCTCGTCTGTACTTCCTGAGTCGCTGCTGGCCACGGAGCTGGGGGACGGTGAATTCCTGGAAGGCGCGTGAGAGAGAATGGGGGACAGTCAGAGGGCGGTGGGAGGACCCCAGAAGGGATGTAAGGAGCAGGAAGGACTGAGCAGCCAACCACTCCTATAAAATCTAACCTCAGAGGGGGACCCTGCTTTCCTCAGCATCTGCTAAGCTCATGAGCGGGACATGGCTCTCAAGACCTCTTGGGACCTCCCGTCCCGGCCTGTAATTGCTCTGGGTGCTGAAAGCCCCTTTGGGAGCAGAGACCGTGGATCAAGCTTGGTTCTTACCCTCAAACCAGCTAACACCGGTCTGGCCACATAGTAGGTGCTCACTAAACCCCAATGACCTCAGCAATAAAGGGAGGCCATACTGGACAGTGGTTAATAGCATGGGGTTCAAATTTTGGCTCTGTCACTGATGAGCTGGGGGCGCCTTGGGCAAACCCAGTAACTCGCCTAAGCTTCTGCTCCTCCATCTGAACCGTGGAAATAACGGACAGTGGGCTCTGGGGGGTTCAGTGAGCTAAAGGCCGGGTGGGCTGAGCCCAGGGCCCCCCACACAGCTTCCCACAAAGCTGCCCCTCCCTCTTTGACTGCCCGAGCCACAGCCTGCAGGAGTATAGTCATAATAAGAGAGACAATTACAATGAACATTCATTTGTATGCTTTGTGCCAAGCATTTTACAGGTATTGATCCCATTTTATTATCAGCGAGCCTGTCTCCCCAAGAGGCTGCGAGTTCCTCCAAGGCAGGGGCTCTGTCTGAATTGCGTGTGTCCCAGGAAATAAAAGGGGCCCGACCCACCTGGCCCTGGGTTGGAACGTGGGGAAGGACATGAAATTGCTTCCTAAGGACAAATGGGAGCCCCGTCGGCCATGGTAAAGAGGAGCGCCCTGCCCCCCCTCCCCAGTTCAGCAGAAAGTGGGGTGTAAGCCTCATGGGGGCAGGGGCTGGGACTGCTGTGTTCACCACTATACCCCCACGGCCTTGCACAGAGCAGGCCTCCGACGAGGAGCTGCTGAGGAAGTGGGGGAGGCAGTTACATGAGGTCAGACAGGTAACTCATCCATCACAGAGTAGGTCAGTGACTACAATATTCATTGGATGGATGGATGGATGGATGGACAGATGGACACATGGGTGGGGCAGATGAAACAGGCCAGACTTGTGAGCCCACACAACGCCCCCTAAGAACCCAGCTGCTGACGCCCCAGGGAGGGCGGGGCCAGGCACCCACCTGTCGGCGGAGCCTTTGATGAGGCGGCGGCAGGTCTCCATCTGCACGTCCAGGCCCCGCTTCATGCTGCACATCTCCATGTACTCGTGCAGGTGGCGGTTCATGTCGCTCTTGGCCGTGGCCAGCTCCAGCTGAGAGGAACCAGCGTGGGACACGCGTGAGGCCAAGTCACCCTCGGAGCAAAACCCTCAGCAGTTCCCTCCTCGCCACCCAAGGTGGGGGGGGGGGGCGGCATCACGGCCACCCCTGAACACCGCGCCCTCAGGGCCCTCCCCGGCCTCTGCTCTCTGCCTGCCGGTCAGCAGCGTCTAGACGGGCTTCAGGTGAAAAGGGAATGGTTGCTTAGCAACCGCGAGGGCACCCCCCCCCCCATGAGCCCCTCGGGGCTCGGCCAGCCCCACTCCGTCCGCCCAGCATCCCTGCACTCCTTCCTGCGGGCTCGGTCAGAAAAGCCCTCCTGTCCCTCACCTCTCTGCCCCTCTCCTCCACCCAGTGACACGTCCCCAGGGACAGAGCTCCTCTTTCTCCAGCATGACGACAGCAATGACTGTCCCCGAGAGGCACGGCCAAGTGCACAGGCTCTCATCTGGCAGAGGGGGCCGGGCCTGAGGGCCGTCTGCTGGCTGGAGGCCTTGGGCGAGTCATTTGGTCTCTTTCAGCCTCATGTCCTCCTCCGTCAAACAGGGTGCTCAGCACCCACTGCACGGGCACCTGAGTACCTCCAGGTCCACACTAGGGCATGCATGTGGGGACCAGGGAGGGTGTACTTGAGAACGGCCTACTCAGTGCCTAGCGTCACTTGATGTCACTCAAATGTCTGCTCTTCTTATTTTGGGATCAGCATCTCAGCTGAACATCTTTAAAACAACCTCTCTGGGGCAGACGAGGATCACCACCCCCATTTTACAGATTAGGAAACTGAGGCCCTAGGAGGGGTGTGGCTTTCCCAGTGCCAGGCAGGGAATTGGCCGGCCTTCTGACTCCCAAGCCTGTGGCTGCCACGGGCCACCAGCCCCTGCCCATGTGGCCACCACTTCGCCACCAGGGGTCTCGCCCATGTGACCCCAGTGAGTGGCACCAGGGGCGGGGGGGGGGGGGGGCTGCACAGCCCGAGCCCTCACCTCGATCTGGCCTATCGTTTCCTGGTACTCCTTGTCTCTCGTCTTGAAGAAGGATTCGGTCTCGTGGATCAAGTTGCCCAAGTTTTCCTCTTGCTAGGGAGACAGGACAGAAGGGACAATGTAACTGGGTGGTGGGGGCTGCGGGGGAGAAGAGGGAGGAGGGGCCAGTGAAAGGAGGTGACCCTGCCTGCCCGCCCGCCCCCGCTCCCCGCGTCCTGGCCCCTGGGCAGCCAGGCCCAGGGCTCACCTCGCCCTGCAGGTCGATGGAGGGGTTGCAGTTGGTGAAGTCCTCCCAGAGCAGCAGCGTGTCCTCGTTCTCTTCCCACGTCAGGCTGTCACAGTCGTCGTCGAAGTCAAAAGTCTCCCGCCTACGGGGGTGACACGGGAGAGCATGGCTGAACAGGGACCAGGACAGCAGAGGGACAGGGGCCCTGCCCCAGTGGGTACGTTCCCACGAGGCAGCCCTCCAAAATGACAGAGTGGCGGCAGATGGACAGGCCTTAGCCATGGAGTTGGACTCTTTTAAAATGCAGAAAGTGCTCTGGCTGGTGTAGCTCAGTGGATTGAGCTCAGGCTGCAAACCAAAGCATCGCCAGTTCGATTTCCAGTCAGGGCACATGCCTGGGTTGCAGGCTGAGTCCCCAGTAGGGGCCATGTGAGAGGCAACTACACATTGATGTTTCTCTCCCTCTCTTTCTCCCTCCCTTACCCCCTCTCTAAAAATAAATAAATAAAATCTGTAAAAAAATAAAAATAAAATAAAATTCAGAAAGTTTTCCCGTACTCTTTATACAATTTAAAATGTGTGTCTTTAAGGTGCCGGGCTTTAAAATCAACAGAGACGAAAGGCAGTTTTCCTCCCAAGTCCAAGCTCGTGATTCAACGAGCAGCTCATTTCCTGAGCCCCTACTTTTTGTGAGATTTCTATAATCTCTGCAACTTGGGATGGTTGGTAGTGTTATTCCCGTTTTACAGATGAGGACACTGAGGCACAAAGGAATTCAGTAAACTTCTGGAACAGTAACTTGCTGGAAATCACATCTGAATTCAAAACCGAGGTGACTTCAGGGCTGCCCTAGTCACTAGAACAGGAAGTAGGCAGGTGACAGGCCACCCAGGCTTGCCTGGGTCTGAGGGGCTTCTGGAGATGCATGTGTACCCCTGCTGGGGGAGGGGGGCACCTTAAACAATCATTCAGCCCAACATGCCCACTAGCCAGGGGAGAAGGTTGATACCAACAGTGAAATCACTCAACCCAGTGAATCCACCGAAACGGAAGTGGGTCCCAAGTGCCCAGATTCCCATTGCAGGCCTCTCCCCACTGCCAATCCCCTCCTGCAACCCCTTCCTGGAATCCCCAGCCTTCCAAAGATGGCCCAGGCCAGGGGCCACTGGCCAGGGCCCAAGAAGAAAGAATTCCTAGTACAAAGCTGCTTAGAGCCACATCCTGCCCCCCCCCTCACCCACAGCCACATCTGTCTCCAGAACACCAGAGCCTCTAGGTGGCTCTATGAGCCCGGAGAACTGGGGCCTGGGGCTGCAGGGCGGAGAGCCCCCACTCCCCACCCCCGTCCAGGCTGGACTGGCCTCAGACGAGTCCCCGGGGTCCACTAGCACCGCATCACATACTCAGCTGCTGACTTCACTTCCTGCCCAGCGTCTGGGATCTGAAGGAAACCCCGGCTGAGGTCTAGGAAGCCAGAAAAGACAGGAAGATGGACCAGAGAAAGGGCTGCGAAGAGGCGAGGCGACCCCACCCCGAGACAGATCTGGGGAGGCAGGGCAAAGGAAGGGGGCTGGCCACAGTACAGAGAAAGTACCAAATTCCTCCCCTCCTCCTTGGCCCGGAGCCCAAGCAACTGATGTGGATCAAAACAAAACAGCCCTGACTCGGGTGCATCATTCAAAGACTTCAGTGGAACTGGCCCCGGGCGGTCTCCGGCTTGGGTCTCAGCCTGCTGTGTGGTCAGCGGGAGGGGGCCAAACCCCGCCCAGGGTGGGGTCAGCAGGGGAGGGGGTGGAGAGATGCAAGGGTGGAGGGGTGGCCGGGGGATTTTTTTTAAAAACTCAGGCAACTTCACCACCAGCTCAATCCAACTGCGTACACACAGCCCGGCCCACGGAGCCCCACACTTGACCCCCGGGGCTGCCCCTCTCAGCTCACCCACCCTGGGCCGCCTGGTGATTCCCTGGTGACTTGATGGAAATGAGGACAACGATTTCTTCAGAGGAGCCTTTTCATCCAACCAAATGACCCCGCCCCGGGTCTGTGGGGGCCTACAGTCCTGCCTCCTCCAAGGAGGCTCAGAAATGCCCAGAGCAGAAAACCTAGACCCAGCCGAGGGTTCTCCCCCAAAGCCCTTCTCATCAGCAAAAGAGGAGAACAGGAGATTTTGGGGGTGATATCAAGGAGGAATCAGGAGTCTGGGAGTCTCCTTGTCCCCTTCAAACGGCTGTCCCCAAGACACGGCCCCATCTGGGCTCTGCTTCGGGGGGCCTCACGTACAGGGGAGCGTGGGGCACATGCAGCCCCGCCGTTCCCGGTCCTGCCTTCCTTCCTTCCCGAGTGGCCTGGCTCCGCTGCAAAGGGACCAGGGCAGGGAAGGTGCCACAGAGTGGGCCGAGGCACACCTCTCCCAGCACGAAGACAGCTGGCTGGGGACAAAGCACTGGACTGGCAGTCGGGGTCAGACTCCACCCCAGCTCCTCACGTGTCCCTCTCTGAGCCTCAGTTTCCGCATCAGTACAGGAAGGGGCTGGGCGGAATGATGCTCGGAGTCTGGAAGGCTAAGCCAGCCCCAGAGCTTTGCAGGAAGTCTTAGGGGAGTCCCACGCCCCTAACTTTTGAAACGACTCTCACGCCAGAGGCACCTGCTGAGAGGAGTGTGCCCTCTCGGAGGGGTTCCAGGCGGTTTGGTGCTGGCCGTCTGAGCCTGGATCACAAACCCACCCCTGCAGCTGGAAACTCAGGACCCTGGGGAGAGATGTCAGTTCAGAGAGTTCGCTCAGCCTGAGACTCTGGTGCCAGGAGGGGAGGGGAGGTGGGGGAGGGGGGTGGAGCTCTGGGGAAAAGCTGAGTTCTTGGGGCTCGGGTGCCCAACGGCACCTCCAGAGAGCCTCCAGAGAGAGCAGGCAGGAGCTGGTCCGGCGGGGGCGGGGGGAGGGGGGCGGGGGAAAGGTGACCCCAGCCCCCAGCCCTGCTGTTTGACTCCAGGCCCTTAGACAAGTCACCCAGTGCCCCAAGTGGCACCTCGCCCCCCTCCCCTCCCCCACTTCAGGGTACAACATGGATTAGCGTGAAAGCTGGACCAGGGTTGAGAACAGGGACCTGGACAGGCCGAGGCCACAGAGCATCCCTGCCCCAGACGACTCTATACAGTGCGCTCCAGGTAAGCCAGCTCTCCGCAGGGGCAGGGGGGGCAGCCCCAATGGGTGGTGGTATTTGCTCATTTTCCAACCTGGCAAACTTTAAGCGACTAACGTGCCATCACTGAACCCGGAGCAGGCAGACACGCACAGTCAGCTTCCAGCAGTCGGTACGAGCTGGCTCTGACCCAGGACCCAGCACTGAGCATGCCCAGCCCGTGTTCTGCCACACACTGAGCCCAGGCAGCACCTCACAGCGAGAGGACGCGGGCAGGCAGGCTTGGCTCTGAGCCCCGGCTCTGCTGCGTATTAGCAGAGCGGTCTCGGCCAAGCTGCTCCTCCTGAGCCTCAGTGTCCTCATCTATGAAAGGGGAGTGATAACCCCACCTCCTGGGGTGGGCTGTCTGGAGCTGGTAAAGTCACACGTGTAAAGCATCCTGCAGACGGGGGTGGGGCGGTGCTTGGCCAGTGTGGTAGGCCCGGTACATGGCTCAGCTCGGCCTTCCCACCCCAGGAAAATCTACGGAAGTGGGTCTCGGCCTCAGACAAGACCCTCACCCAAATGTGACCACCACTACTGCCCCTTGGGGCCTTCCCGAAAATGTGGAGCTCCCCAAAGTAGAAACGTCACAAACGAATGCAAACTTGTTCCTTACGCTGTCCCAACAAAACACACCTGCAGGCAACTTCCGGCCCAGGCCACTGTCTGCCACCCCTGCCCCGGGTGTCCGGGCGAGCAGAACGGGGCTCCCTGCTGGGGCGGCGGGGACACGCGGGGTACTCACAGCTGGTTAAACATGCGTTTCATCTCGTCGGTGATGTTCATGGAGCCGACCTCCTCGTCTGGGAACCGGTTCACCTCCCCGTCCTGCTCCGAGATGTCATCGTCCGAAGTCACCTTACGCTCTTTCTTCTTGGGGACCACCTGAGCCGGGAAGGAAGAGATCAAGGTGACCGGGAGGCTCTGCCGGAATGGAGGGGCGGGCGGGGTGGGCTGGGAAGGGAGCGAGCACCCCACGGGGCAGATGGAGGGTGGCCGGGGCCAGCCACGCCGGGAGAGATGCACGGGTCCTCTAAGAAGCAGGCGGCGTTAGCAGGAAGCGTGAGGCGGGGAGACGTGCGGGACAGAGGACACAGACAGCCTGGACACCCCCCTGCCCTGCTGGTCGGGCCAGCTCAGCTCACCCCTTCACCACAGAAGCCAGAGGGCCAGAGAAGCCCCCGGGGAGGAGGTGCAGATGGCTCCATGCCGCCCGGAGCCCCCCTGCTCCCGTGCAAAGGCAGCAGGCGGCGGCCCCGGGCTCACCATGCTCCCTCCACTCCAAGCAGACAAGACGCGAGCAAACCAAACAGAGGCTGAAACAGGCCCCCTGCTTTGCAGCAGAGGGTCGGCGAGAAGGCCCAGAGGTGCACAGACGGCCCAGGGAAGCCCAGAGCTCCCTGGCGATACCCGAACACACACTTAAAGCAACAACACACCGTATGGCCCTGCGCTCAAGCAACAGCCAAACCACAACCCAGACTCAAGAAGCGGCCTTCGGAGAATGGCGCGTGCCCTTCGGGCAGCTAGCTGGACTCGCCCCCATGCCTTCCCCGGAGGACAGCTGCCAGCGAACCCGTCGCCTCCTCTCGGAACACGCACACTTGCTCGCTGAGGGGAAGGGGTGGAGGCTGAGGGCCTCTTCGGGGGGAACGAAAGATAGTCCGAGGCCAACAGCTCGTGCCTGGAATTCTGCGGCTCATCGGCCAGGGCTCAGGCCCGCTCGCCCGGCGCACCCACCGCCTGGCCAGGGCTCCTCGATGGCACCCAGTCCCGGCACCCCGAGGAAGAGGCCACAAGCCGGACTGTGAACCCAGCGTGGGCAGGTGGATGAAGCCCTGCAGGGTCAGGAGACCCGAGTTCTAGTCCCGGGTCTGCCATTTCCTTCCTGGAGCCTGTCGTGTCACCCCCCCAGGGGGGCGGTCTCCTCAGCCACAAGATGAAGCCGTCAGCCTTGATGATGGAGTCAGACCAGCCTGGGAGCCTAGAGTCCCTGATGCTACGGTCTCCGGGGGAGGCCATGCTAAGTCTGGGGGAGGGCATGGTGGGGTGTGAGGGGGACGGGTCGGCCAGGCAAGGGTGCAGGCCGGGGCTCTCTGGGAGGGTTGCAGTGCCAGGTGGGGGTGGCGGCTGGTGAGCAGGGCGGCCCTAGTCACCTGGAAGATCTTGGACACGTCTTCCGAGTTCCGCTGCTGTGCGACATCGCACAGCTTGGCCGTGATATCGATTCGGCGGCAGATGTCCATGTCCACCTTCATGGCCTTTTCTTGGATCTTTGTGTCCAGGTCTGTCATGGGCTGCAGGGAGGACAGCAGGGGTTACGTGAGCGAGGGATGGAGCAAGCACGGGGTGGGGGCATTGCTCCCAGGCCGCTGATGGACAGAGAGGGGTGGGAGGCCCTAGGTGTTGAGCGGACGGCCCCGGAGTCCAAGAGGGGCCTTGAGCCTGTCCTGGGCGTGAAGGGCTGGGCCAGCGCTGCTCGGCGGGGGCTGGGGGTGGAGGGGCCGTGGGAGCCAAAGGCTCTGGCGCCGAGTGGACAATGTGAGGCCGTGTGCGCCGGTCTCTCTGGGGCTGGAAGGCATCCTCTCAGCAGACACAGTGTCCGTGTGTGTTTTGTTAGCGCAAAGGAAACACAAAGGCAGCTCCCACCGGTGAAAGACTCCCCTTCTTTCCCACCCAGCGCGCCCCACCTGTCCCCCACCCGGCGGTGCCTGCCAGGGCGGCTCTGTCTCTTCAGGGTCCCTCCCACGGCTGACAGCACAGGTCTGCTCAGGGCAGGGGGCTCCCCCTGGAGCCCCAGGAAGCTTCTCCCAGCCACACCCAGCTTCATGCCCCCAGGACCAGAAGCCACACCGGGCTGGGCCTCCCATGATCGGGCCCCTTCTCCTTCCTGGAGTGTCTCCCCACATAATGCCCACTGCTTGGCGGTGGGTGGCAGGAAATCCGGGTCCCCAGCAGGAAGGAGGCCTGGGCTGCCAACAGCTCCCCTCACCCACGGTTACCCAGAAGGGCTCTGATCGCCGTCCCGAGGACACGTACACGGGCCTGCCCTGACTTTACAAAGCAACCCTGCTGGAGGCCGCCAGCCCGGGCAGCCTCTCAGGCTGGCACAGGGCCGCCCTCAACCTGTGCCCAGACACCGAGGCCCGCGGCCAACGCCCGCCGCCGCATCATGGCGAGCTGGGGAGGAGCCGGAGCCGACACACACAGACCCTCAGAGGAGCCCGAGCAGGGCGGGATGGGTTAAGCGGCAGATTAATGCATCTCTACTCAGACCAAGGGAAGCGGAAGTGGGAAGGGGCGGGAGGAGGGCGCCTGGTCTCCGATGCATCGGTCATCCTCACGGTCAAACGCAGCCAGCCAGGACTCTAACTAGAAGCCGAGCTCTGGAGCCTCGGAGTGAATGAAGCGTTTTGCATGACGGGAGTGGGGGGAGGTCACGACACCCGGGGGCAGCGGCGGCGGCCGGTGGCACTTACATCACTCATGAGCCCCTTAAACACCACCAGCTCGGCCTTCAGCCTCTCGATCGTCTCGTTCATCTCCTCCTGGATGGCTTCCGCCTCCTGTGCTGCCTGTGGGGACGGAGACCGGGAGGGTTGAGCGGGGCCAGGCACCTGAGGGGCAGGAGGAGCCGGACCCTGGGCCGGATTAGGCCGGGTCCCCGATGGCTGGGGAAGGGGTGTGCCGAGGACCTCGCTCAGCCTGGCTTCCTGCCCCTCGGTTTAAAACCCTTCTCAAACCTGGCTGGTGTGGCTCAGTGGATTGAGCGCGGGCTGCGAACCAAAGCATCACAGGTTCAATTCCCAGTCAGGGCACGTGCCTGCGTTGCAAGCCACAGCCCCCAGCAACCGCACATTGATGTTTTTCTCTCTCTCTTCCTCCCTCCCTTCCCTCTCTAAAAATAAATAAATAAAATCTTTAAAAAAATAAAAAATAAATAAAACACTTTTCAAAGGAATATTCACAGTGTGGAAAACCCCGTGGTAGATAGAGAGAAAGCAGGTTACTGCAACAAGTGGTCCCAATAGGTTCAAATATTGGGTCAATTCTTGGGAAACTGCCAATAACTGACCATCTCTGGTTCTCTAAAATGGCAAGGCCAGGTGTGTCAACCTGCCCGCACGTGCACACCCAGAGTGTGTGTGTGTGTGTTTGCACAGAAAAGACCGGAAGGGCACACCCCGGTATACCAGCAGCGGAGAGGCAGAGCTGGAGAGAAGTTTTGTTTGACTCTCTAAGCTCTTCTCAACTTTCCAAATATTTGAGCACGAACATGTTATGTTTGTAAAGTAAAAAGCGCTTTTGTTATAAAAATGGAGGGTGTTCATCCCCTCCCTTCTGTGTACTGATATTGTTTTAATCTGTCTCTAACTTTCTCAGAAGATAAATGTTTTAAATATCAGAGAGTGATTTTAAAAATATCTGAAAGAGTGTTCCATGCCTTATCGTGGGGTCACTATCCGTGCACCCATTTGACTGAGGGGAAAAGAGAGGCCGGGAAGGAGAAGCTTGTGGCCTGGGGTACCCAGCAAGCAGATGAGTACGGGGCCCAGAGCACAGAGCTCCTGGGCCGGAATAACAAGGAAGGGCCTCTTGCCACCATGGAGAGCCTGCTAAGGCTCGGAGCCCAACTGGTGACGTGCGGCCACCCTCTCCAAGGCATTCGGCCCCCAGTCAGTTGCTGCAAGCTGGAGGAGGGGTGCTGAGACACCATCCAGTCCAAGCCTCAGGCGGGGGGAAGAGGCAGGAGAGGGGAGTCACTAGTCCAAGGTCGCCCCTCAAGCCGGGGCAGCACCAGCACTTGGACTCGGGCTTCCCAACTCCCGTGCCTGAGCTTTTCTGCAACACTGCGCTGGCTGCTTCCTAGCTCCAAAGCAGGGCGTGCAGAGGAGGCCTCTTGGCTCTATCTGGGAGACTGAGGCAGCGGGAGGTAACACAGAGTAGGGGCTGTGCTGGGAACCATGTCCCCTGGCCGCATGGTCCTCCCGAGAGCCTCCCCTCTGGTTGGGACCTCTGAGGGCTCTCACCTCCTTCAGCGTGTCCACCACGGTCTGCAGGTTCATGTTCTTGGCCAGCTCCTCCTCCCATCTGTAAGAGCCAAGAAAGACAGGTGGTCAGAGGGGGCCTCCCATGCCAGTCCTCAGACCCAGGACAGGCAGCCACCCCGGGCTGGGCAAGGACGACGGCACAGCAGTGCATCCATCCCGGCCTGCCCTCCAGGAGCTCCCAGCCTAGGCGTGGTGAAGGTGGGGCAGCGACAGCCAGGTGGACACATGGCCCTAGTTCCAGGAGGTGCTGCTGAGTGACACGCTCCAGCCATGAGCACGGCACCTCAGGACGAGGAGGGCGGGAGAGACCGCCACTCCCCCTCCAAGCAAACTGTATAGTGCTGCACAGATGCCACTGCCCCTGCCGTCGCTGCAAGGTGCAGTTTCGAGGCTGGCCCTCAGGAGCCAGGCTGCAGCCAGCACCCCACTCAGGCTGCTCTTTGCACCCGCAAGAAACACGCTTGCACTGTGCTAACTATTGCACTCTCAGAGTCTATGGTCCTGCAGCCTGCCCTAACCAGCAAAGACAGCTCCTACACAGCTATTAGCATCCCTATCTCACAGGGGAGGACATGGAGGCTCAGAGAGGTTGAACATCCTACCCAAAGACACACAGCTAGTTAGTGAGTAGGGCTGGACTTCAAACCCAAGCCTGCCTTGTTACATTAAAACAAAGATAGAATAAATACAGCTCCCATTCATTCAGCACTTATTTCGTGCCTGGCCCTGTTCCAGGGGCTGTACACGTATTATCTGTGCGCTCACACGCTGGCTGAGGCAGGACGGGAGGCGATAGAGAAGAGAGGGCACGCCGGGGCTAACGGTCCCCCCAGCGGTCACTGGAGCCTGGATGAGATGCTCATATCATCACCGTAACAATTCCAGCTCACCTCAACTGAGGGCTTACTTCCTGCCGGGAACCCACCTATGTGACATAATCCGATCCTGAGAACAACCCTCCAGCACAGGGGCCTCCATCAGCCCCAGGTTACAGGTGAAGAAAGCAAGGCACGGAGGCAGGGGCCCAAGGTCAGGGTGAGGGCAGGTGGGGCCAGGACTCCAACCCGGCCAGAGGCTCCAGACTGAGTGGCTGCCACCCTGCTGGGCTCCTCCTGGACCAGGCCCCATCGGAGACCAAACGGGCTCCACGGCCAGGCCTCCCCGCCGCCGCCCTCCCCAGAGGAAGCTGGGGCAGGTTCCGTCCCCCTCTCCATCCTGGGGCAGACAGACGAGCTCCTGAGCTTCTCGCTCTCCTCACCCCACTGCCGCCTCCCTACATGGCCTCAGAGCAGGCAGGTCTGGAGGCCCTTTAGGATGCTGTCGGGGCCAGCTAAAAATAGGCCAGAGGGGAGGAATGGATAAAGAGTGGGTTACGTCACCAGCTTTTGGAAACGAGAAAACAGATACTGTTTGCACACACAGAGGAAAATTCCTCCGCTCTCCCACACAAAACGAGACGGGCCTGGCCAGGGCTCCCGGATGGTGCAAGTGCTTGCGCACGCGTGCACACACACACACACACACACACACACTGGCCTCTCTCCTGTTCCCTTGGGCCTTTCCCAGCCCCCAACACTGGCAGCAAGCCTAGATCTGCTGGTGGCCACAGGGTCCCGAACCTAGAGGGCAGTGGGGCTGGGTGGGGGCTTCCGCCAGGGGTGAGGGACACGGGGGAAGCTACGGAGGGTCCAACGCAGGCCGGACAACTCCATGAATTACACTCATTGTACAAACGGGGAAACCAAGGCCCACAGCGCGCCAGGAATCTGCAAGGTCACCTAGTATGTCAAAGGCCAGGCCAGGAGGTCATTCCCGGGCCCAATGTGGGGGACGGAAATCCCAGCGGGGGGCCATTCACAGGCTACCCTAGCCCCCACCCAGCAGCAGGGGGCATTAGGACTGCCCTCCAGGAGGCCAGTGCCAGACACAGGTCCCACGCTGAATCATCTCTCCTGGCCGTGCTGCTCTGAGTGGGGGCAGAGAACTCAATTCCAAGGCCAGTGAGCAAGGGGGTGCAAGGGAGGGCCTGGCCTTGCCACTGCTTTCACAGAAGGGGGCAGCGAGGGATGAGGACGCGGGCGCCCAGGAGTATCTCAGCGCCCCCCACCCCGACACACCCCCCCCCCCCATTCCCCAGGCTCCCGGGGATGAGGCTCAGCCCCATCTCGCTTTTCCTTTCAGCAGCCTTTTCAGGAGGAAGGTGGGGCAGGGACCAATAGACCCATTGCACAGATGGGGAAAATGAGGCCCAAATAAGAACAACTTGCCCCCAGTCAATGGAGAGCGAGAGCCCGAGCTGCATCTTTGGATCTCCAGACACATCCGCAGCCGTAGGGGCAGCCACTGATCGGTGAGTGCCACGCCTGGGTGCCACGCACTCTCTGGACTCGGTGCCTTGTACACACATCTCATCAGCTTTCGTGTGGACTATTAACCCTCGCGGGTAAAGAATGTTCCCCCAGAGGCCTTTTGCAGAGGAGAGAGCCGAGCTTCAGAGAGGTGAGTTAACTGGCCCAAGGCTACGCAGCTAGCAAGCAGGGCTGGGACTGAAGCCGGCCCCTGCTAAAACAGCGACAAGCACGGGGATCACGCAGGGACCTCGCTCAGAGGCAGCCCTGGACCCAGCAGGTCCCGCCGGGGTGGGGCGGACACGCTGCACTTCTAAGGAGCTCCCCTGCAGATGGCGCTCTGCCTGGCCCCACGTCTCGCTAGCGATTCTGAGCTGCACCCCAGCAGATGAGCTTGCACAAATGATTTCACGGGCCTTTTGTTTCCAAAGCCAAGCCGGGTGGGCAGCCGGCACTCGGGGTCCCAGAAGGCGGAACACCGACCCCAGCGCGTAGATAGCAGCTGGCCTGGCAGACCGAGTCCTTGCCCACGCTGACGCGCCTCCCAAAGGCGCGGACAGGCCTGGCTGTGCCAGCTCCAGTGTTGACTGTGCAGAAAAGCTTTGCCCTTCAGCCGCACCAGCTGGTGGGGCTGAGAGGATGACGAGAGGTGAAGCGCTTCTTAAGTTGCCCCAGACACCCCACCTTCACCGCGCCTCAGCCCAGGAGGAGGGAGCTTGCAGCTCCACGGAGAACTGGTCCGCCAAGTTGTGGGCTATGAAATGTCAACACCCGCGTCCCAGGCACTGTCCCCTCCCCGGACCTGGGTCAGCCCACAGGAGTACGGTTTCGGCGGGACGGCTGCTTCGGGCAGAGGGGTGGCGTGAGCAAAGAGGGGCAGCGGGGAGGCCAGGGAGGAGCCAGCGGACACTAGGAAGGGGACACACCTACTGTGGGTCAGGGGCTGGTGGATGTCACGCCCTTTAAACTCCGCTGACCCACGGCATAGCAAAGGGGTCACACAGAAGAAGCCTCCCCTGTTTCACAGGGGGAAGGCCCAGGACACAGAGACAGCTCGAGCCACAGCCAAGGTGGCCTGAGTCTCCTAGAGCCACCTCTGCCACCCCGAGCCAACAGCTCATAAAACTTCCAAATTCTTCTTAATGTGTCGGATGAGAGAAAGGGGTTGTGGGGGGGGCATTCACTGGTCGCCTTCTGGGCTGTGCTCACCACGCTAGGCACTCATATACACGTGAAATACAACATGTCACTTAGCCCCACTGCTAAGGATTGTCCCCCCACTTGACAGATGGGGAAGCAGAGGCTCTGAGGCTATTCGATTTCCCTGTCCCTCCCTCCTGCGCAGCCTGCTGAAGTCCCGCGCACTCGCCCAGGCCAGTCTCGCCTGCCGCCCCCTTCCTCCCTGAGTCCCCGCAGCCACTCCCATGATTTCCCCTCCCGGAGCTCCAAGCCCCTGCTCGTGGCAGCCGGGCCCCAGGACCCCATTCTCCCAGGGCGGCTCGACGGTGGTGTCTCCCCACGCACGGCTCTCACCCCAGCCACCATGCCAGAGACAGTGACAGACCACCCTCCACCTTCCCCACCTCCCAAGGGTGCCTGGGCCCCGGCCCCAGGTCTGCTGTGCCCCAGATCCTTTCCCTCTCCACCCCACCCGCAGGCAGACACCCTACAGGTCTCACATGTGGGCCTCAGAGCGTGACGCGGAGCCTCCGAAGCCGGCAGGGTGGGGAATGCCGGCGGGGAGGACGGTGGTCATACTGACAGCGCGTCCAACACGGTCTGGGTGCTTCCGGTGCGCCGGGCACCGGTCCGAGGGGCTTTACACGTGCACGACCTCGTTTCAATGGGTCGCACAGTAACCTTTAGGTACATCCATGTTACTGATGAAGCTCAAGTCCAAAGCCATTACTAGCCAAGATCTCCCAGCTGGGCGGGGGTGGAGGGGGGGAGGCGTTTCCACTTTTCAGGAGAAAGCTGACACTCAGAGAATCTCCCGAAGTGAAGGCGGAAGGGCACCAGGGTTCACCGCGTCCAGACCTGAGTGCTCGGATAAGGACACCCAGGCCCAGGGTCACACAGGGAGTGGGAGGCAGAGTGCCTTCCACCCTGGAGTTCCGGAGGAGGGAAGGGCAGGAGGGCAGGGAGACTGGGCCCCGGCTCTGCCTCCCCCAGCATCTGCCTCCGCTTCCCAGCGAGATGGATGGTGGCCCACCACATCCCAGGGACACTCCAGGAAAGCCATTCCACTCCCACACTCCCTGAGTGTGAAACCAGGGTCCCAGGGAGGAAGGGCCAACAACAGCCTTCCCAGAAACCCTTGGGGTGCCACTGGGGTGTGACCCACACATGGGAGCGGGGGCAGGTGCTGGACGAGGGCAAGGACAGTGCGGGAGGGCCTCTGGGCCAACGCAAGGACAAGCAGGGGCTCGGACCGCCAGGCCATGAATCGGGAACATGGATATGTGTGTGCCGGCGGTGCAGGGAAGCCCTCCAGCACCCACTGCAGGAGGTCTCAGGCACCCTGTGTCCTGGCCTGTCGGGGCCTGGAGAAGACAGGGGTGAGACGCCTGTTCTAGGGTAGGACAGAGGCACAGAGGAGGGGCGCCCTCAAACAAGTCATTAGAGGAGAGGGGTCTGAAGCCGGGGTCGGGCCCTTCCACCGGTCCAGGGAGCTGCTGGTAACCACTGTCCC